TGCCCTCAGGCGCCGCCCCTCTGGAGCCTAATTAGGCTTTCACACCAACCCCCTTCACTGTGTCAGCCCTGTGCCATGGGCAGACTCCCCAGGATTTCAGGCCAATTGCTTGTTTATGAGCCCAGCCCGTCTGTCTTGGGAAGAGGCCCAGAGGCACTCCAGTGAGCAAACAAGCCCTCCCCACCCTGCAGCCAGAACTTGATGGCCAAAACTGGTGCTGCACTCCCAAGCGCCTTACATGTTAGTGTGGGTTTAAGTGCCCTACTCAGCTGTGTAACATTTTTTCCAGTTCTGGGACCTTCTAGCCACTTGGCAGGCTTTATGGGTTCATCCAACCCAGGGTAGTGATAAGACCATGCACTTTGCTGAGTTTCTATGAGGATCAAGTGAGATTACAGGCCCTGGCATCATCATCAGCTTCCATTAAAAAAAAAAAAAAAAAAAAAAAAAAACTCAGTCCCTTCCCCCACCCCCACCCTGCACCCAACCCCCAGTCCTCCTCCCCACACACTGGACTGAAGTGTTTTGTTCTGTGCCTGGCCTAGCATGGTCAGGGCACTCAGAGGATGTGGCTATTAACATCGCTGTCTGAGGATTGGTTATTGATCTTCACTAGACTTGAGTGGTGGTGGTAGCAATGAGGGTGAACACAACCACCTACCTGTCTCTATTGGACTAAGCCTAGGGTTAGCTGTAGTAGGTACTGGGAGAAGGGGGGAAAGGAAAGGAATATGCTGGGTGTTTAAATCTTGGCAGCTCATCAGTCTCTTCCATCCTGGCAGTGACAATGGGCAGGGTTTAGGGAGATGGAACTGAGTGTCCTCATGTTCTAGGTGAGGGGTGCAGGCTCCTCCAGAGTAGAGGACACTATCAGAGACAGCCCCACCACCACCCCCAGCTTGTTGGAGTAGCATGGAAACATTGGTTCCTCCCCTGCCACCCAGCAATGGCTCCTCCCTGGACATAGCATCCTCTGCTGGCAGGGTGTTTGCAGGCTAAGCTGGGCCTGGGTGTGCTTCCCCAGATGGAGGTCTCTGCATCCTGCTCTGGGGGTGGTAAAGGCAAAAGGAGTGATTTATGAACCCAGTTATTCTTACTCAGAGCACCCCTCCCAGCCCCGTATCCCTGCAGATGGGCCGAGCTGCCATCTGGGGCCATGAGAGGGGCAAGATTAATAAAGCTGTCTGGCCCAGGCGGGAGCCTGCTGAGGAAAGCCCCAGGGCACTGCATAACCTCAGCCCCATCCCTGCCCTCTCTGGGCCTAGGGGCTCCCATCTGTCAGGGGGATGGCAGGGCTGGGTCCTGCCCCTACAGCCTTCAGCTGGCTTGGGGGAGGAAATGAGCATCTTTCCCAGGCTTTGTGCTTGGCTACTTAGGGATCTTGGGGACCAAGGCATGACTCCTCCTCTCCCACAGACACTATTTTGCCAGGAGCTCTGGTTTTCAGTTAAGTGACCCGTGTCTGGATCAGAAACATCTTACTAAGCAGGTCAGCGAACTCAGGCAACTTGGTTTTATCTCTGAGCCGCAGTCTCCTCACCTCTAAGAGGACTCGCCTCTTAGGTAAATATTTAATGGGAATACAGGAGAAAGCTGAACAGAGCCAGGTGCTTGATGAATGTTCTATCTTATAGTTACCATTAATTGGCACGGTATTGGAACAATTAATTTGAATGTAAGACCACTTAGGACAATGCCATTTGTACCCACGCTGACCATGTACTGCATCCATGATCCTCCCCACACCCTCCTTCACTCATAACCCGTGATTTGGGTCAGACACTGTTTACTTACTCCTGATGTGTGATGACCACAGCGCCTGCCTCATCCTTCCAAGTCTTCTCTCGCCTCTGGCACTATTGATTCTTTTGGCCACCTTTGGTTTCAAAACTAATCATGGCAATTTGATTATCCCAAGTGACTATCCCAAGGTCTCAGGGGGCTTGATAAGGTAGGGGATATCCCAGGCTCTGAAGCACCAGTGAGATAATTAATGGAGCCATATATACTAGGCAGACAGGAGCCTAACTGTGGGACAGGCTCTCCAGGAAGACAGACAGGAAAAGGAGTGTGGCAGGAGGAGGGCTTAGCCTCAAAGATGGGGAGGTCTGTGTGCCGGCAGACAGCATGCATGTGGTGGATGATCCTTGGTGAGGAATTAAGTGCTGGCTGCCCACCCCTCCTAGACACCGGGTTGGCTCCTGTGCAACCTATATTCTCTACCCCAGCAGCTGTATTCAGAGGAAAATGAGGCATGACAGAGTTAAGACCATAGGTTGAGATGAAAGACAAGTGTGATGGTGCTGGACCAAGGCTGGGATTGGCCAGGGGAAGAGAAAGGCTTGGGAAACCATGACCCAGCCCTGTTCCCCTAAGTCCCATGGCCTAGCATGGATTAGCTGCAGAACCACACACCTTTCTAATGACCCCAGAGATGTGACAAGTCAGGTGGCTTCATCTTGTTCAGTGAAGTCTCTCTTTATGAAGATCTTGGTCTTGTCAGACCTGGGTTCTCTCTCCTCTGCCTTTCCTAGTTGAGTTCTGCCAAGGAGTACATAGAACCTCCTCTTGTGCCAGGACCAATTTCTAGGGAATCCTCACCAGACAGACCTACTTATATGGCAAGCAGAGGGATGGATGGATGGATGGATGGATTATATTAGTGGATGGAAGTTGAATGGATGAGTTGTGGATAGATGGATAGATGAATGGATGGGTAGGTAGATAGTTGGATGGTTAAGTAGGAGGAAGTATGTGTGCATTGCTGGGTGGATAGATGGATGGGTGGGTAGGTGAATGGGTGGGTGGGTAGATGAATGGGGTTGTTAGGTATATGGATGGATGAACAGACCAACAGATGAATAGACAGATGAATCAGTGAATCAGTAAATTAGAAAAAGAAGGGATGGTAGGAAGGAGAATCTGCCACCCAGCATGTACTTAACTGGTCCCAAGTGGGCTTTCACTTGAGAGAGAGCATCTGAGCAGGTGTTTTGAGACCTTAAAATCCTTCTGTCTCCCCTGGGAAGGATTCTCAACTTAAGCTCTGCCAGCAGAATACAGACTTTCTCCTGAGTCTGTTCTCTAACACAGCCTGTAAGCAGGTCTAAGCTGTAGAACTCTATACCCATGTGATCAACACAAGTCTCCCAGCTTCCTTTGCCCTACTGAGAGCTAACTCTCCAAAGGAACCTTCTAGCAAATCTTCGTGCAGAAACAAGAAAGGCTCCCTGCATCCCATTTCTCCCTGATGGCAGCCTGTGTTTGCTGGGAAGGACTTGGTACCATGGCCCCATGGCAGAGGTGTGAAAAATGCCAAGGTGGCAACAGATGGGTGGCCATGTAAGCCTGCCACCTCAGGGTGGCATTGATAAGACAATAGCAGAAACCACATGAAGACACAGCTCCTGTGCAGCCGGCAGGTACTGGGGACTGCTGTGTAGGCAGGAGATAACCAGTAAAGCCCTCTCCAGCTGGCACAGCCCCATGTTTTGACAGCTTTTCATTAATGCCCTAGGCGTAGCAGGCCATTACCTGTGTGCACACCAGGAGCCCTGCATCAACTCTGCCTCAGTGTCCAATATCTTGTAACAGTAAACCTGGCAAACTGGGCTGTTGAGAGACACACCTGAGACCCTCTGACTAGGAGAGTTTTGTCCTGCCGACCCATGGAGAGCTGCCCAGGTGACACTTCTGTCCCCTGACATTGACCTCCATTGACCTGATTCTGTCCAATCTGTGTGTCCTTTCCTGCACCGCTCCTTGATCACTCTGTCATCTGTCCCCTTCAGTCTCTCTCTTGCATATGGGTCTCTTGTTTCTGAGCTGCTGACTCTGCCATTTTATCTTTTGGTTTTCTCTTTTCCATTCATTCACTCATTGGTGAAGCCGTGTTAACTGATGTCACTGTGTCGGTCTGTCCTGGACAATGAAAGTGTCTTGGTGAACACTCTGGCCATGGCTCTTGGGAAAACATGTCTCCCTGAGGTCCACACATACGTCTGAATAAGCACCCAGCACCTACAGCAGGTGGTGCCTGCAGAGTGCTGGGCTACGCAGGCAGGGTCCATCACTGGCTGGCCACACGTCATTGGCCACATTAATAGTTCTCAACTCTTCAGGAAGAATGATGATGACTCTCAGTGATGTGCTAGTGGTTTAAGATATTCCAGGCCAATCCTAGGTAAGCACATCTCAGGACCCCAAGCTTTTAGTTTACTTACTTGAAGCAGTTTCCTGACATGCTGCTGTAAGCACAGGACCCTTAGATGCTTGGGTGAGGGGTCTCTGGGCAGGCCCAGACTGTCGCTCCTGTCTCCTTGGGTTGTCTTGTAGAAAGACATGAGGAGGCAACTTCCAGCCCACTCTCCACTGCACTTATCCTGTTCAACACCCTCAGTGAAAGAGGTTCACACCAGGTCAGGTTGGCCCTGGATGCTTCTGGGCCAGGATTGAGGGACTTTTTCTATGTAATGCTCTGCCTTTATCAAACATCCATCATTCCCCTGGGCAATCTGAAAACAGGGTTTCCTCCCCCGGGGACTTGTCTGCTTTCAATCTAAGACACTGGCCCCTAAGCCTGCTAGAGATTAAGGGCTGAGTCCTGGTCTTTGGTGGGTGGATGGGTGTTGGGGGTGGAGAATACTGAAGATAACCAAGGTTTGTCTGGCCTCAGGGAACTCGGTTAAAGAACTACTGACTATGGCCGTGCCTCCTAGTAAAAACCCCTATCCTTTTAACTGTCCCCATCTCCCAGCCTGGGTCTCTGTGGCAAGGTCCCTGGTGTTCAGGGAGTGTCTGGGCAAGAGGGAAGAGATAACAGGATGGGTCCTTCAGCTAGGTATGAACCCTGCCAGGTTTCAGGCTTTTTATCTTAGAGGCAAATCTTTGCCCTTGAGAGAGGGATTGTTACTGGGTCTGCTGGATGGGGCTGGACTGGCCTCCAACTGGAGGAATCTAAGTGTCTCCCAGTGAAGAATTATTGGCCTTGTGTTTTCTAGGTGGAGCACCATGGAGGGCGACTGTCTGAGCTGCATGAAGTATCTGATGTTTGTTTTCAATTTCTTCGTATTTGTAAGTGCCCCTGGGTCTCCCCTGGGTGTTCTCTAGGTGTCCCCTGGGTATCTGACCTCTGCTGGTGACAGACCTAGCCTCCTCCCTAAAATAGCCACAGGAAGCTGAGTACCCAGAGGTAGCTGAGCCTGGCCAGTCAATTTCTTGGGAGGCCTGGCATTGACTGCCCTTCTCCTGAGTCCCTACCTCTACTCCCTTCACAGTAGACTTTTCAGCCAGGTCCTGAGATGGGAGAGCCGCTGGCAATGGATAGACTAGAGGGACTAGGAAGATGGCTTGTTTATAACCCAAGTTCAGTCCCTAAGACCCACATAAAAAAGCCAAATGTGAGGGCACATGCCCATAACTCCACCTCTGGGAGACATCCAGGGACTTTACCTAACCTAACACTGTCTCAGAAACAGTGCGGATGGCTCCTGGGGAACAATGCCTGGGATTGGCCTCCACATGCACACACATGCATGTGTACCAACCCCACCCCCAATGTGATCAAGCAGTGACCGCAGAACTGTTCAGGCCAGCCTTGTAGCCACCTGTGTAATTGGGAACTCCTAAGAGGAGCCTGCCTTGGCACCCCAGCTCTGCAACTTGACACACATCTCACTCTGAACCTCAGCATCTTCATCTCTCTTGTTTTGTTTGTTTTATTTTGATTTTATTTATTTTATATTTTTTTATTTTCAAGACAGAGTTTCTCTGTGTAGCCCTGGCTGTCCTGGGCCAGGCTGTGTTGAACTCAAAAGGTCTGCTTGCCTCTGCCTCCTGAGTACTGGGATTGAAGGTGTGTGCCACCACAGCCTGGATAACATCTTCATCTCTTAATGACTCACTAAAACAGGCTTTCTGAAAATTCAGCAAAATAGATAACAAGGGGACTAGAACATGGCCAGTACAGAACAAGTTTGTCCATCTCCCTCCAAACCACGGGCTATGTATGAAGGGACAGAGGTGCCGGTATCAGGAAGCCTCTCCCATGCTAGCAGCCCACCCAATTCCCTACTTAGCCCGGCAGCCCCTTCCAGTAACAGAGCCCAATCTGCCACTTTTTGGGCTTCCATGGTCTTCTCTGATCAACCCTGGCCTTCTAGCACAGGCACTACCACTGGCCCCTCAGGACAGTCCTGGAAGAATAGCCCCTTTGCTGGCAGTGGCAGGCTGTCTACATTTCTGCCTGTCCATTTTCACATCTTTGTGTTTCCCTGGAACCCACTTCCTGGGTCTTGGAGCTAGGCATCCTACAGACAAAGTGGAATTCTCCTAGCTGGGGACCCCAGCCTATTTTTCCCATGCCTGCACCTTCCTTGTCATCTCTCAGTGGATGGCTTTAACTCCAAAGCCACCCATAGAGATGAGAGGAGCAGACCTTATTTGGAGGCTTTGTGGGGAAAATGAGGCAAAAGTGAGGTGCAACAATCAACTCTGGCGTCTCCTGCAGCCTGCCCTCTTCTCCTCCAGTCTCTCCACCCACCCACCTGATGCATCTGCCAGTAGCTTTCACCCTGCTTTCAAGTCCACAGCTTACAGACCTGCGGGGTCAGCCAGAGCCTGCAGCGACTCCCAGCCTACCTGCTGTTCTTCACTTGCACCACCGGGCCCTGTCAGCCCCCAGATTCAATGCCAAACCAGTTCCACACACAGCAGACCACTTCCAATACTGCCCCTACTCAAGAAATGGAATATAGGCCCACTGAAGTCTGCTGTGACTGCTCTGCTGGGGCTGCTGGGGGAGGTGGGAACTCAAGCTGCTGGCTAACCGTGAGGGTGCCAAGGCTCAGGAAGAGTCAGCCTCCTACTTAAAGTCACAGCTAGTAGACAGCAGACACAGCCCCTGCTCCAGCTTAAGCCACTTCACTTCTCAACCAAGATGAGCAAAGCACAGAGAGAGATGGGCCATGCAAAGGCATCAGTGAGAGGCTTTGGGACACGTATTTAAGAATGGGAGTTCAGCCAGGCAGTGGTGGCACGTGCTTGTCTTTAATCCCACACTTAGGAGGCAGAGGCAGGTAAATCTCTGAGTTCTGAGACAGGATGGCCAGAGAAGCCCTGTCTTGAGCCTCCTGAGAGAGAGACAGAGACAGAGACAGAGACAGAGAGAGAGAGAGAGAGAGAGAGAGAGAGGAGAGAGAGAGAGAGGATAAGAATGGGAGTGGGAACAAACCCTGTCACTAGTGTGGCCACTGTGAGCTCAGCATCACTCTCAGAACTTGTCCATGGAGATTTGTTCAGTGTCAGGGAGAGCTAGGCTGCAGCCTTGACTCTGCCATGAACTTGAGAGGTGACCCTTTGCAAGTCATTGGCTTCCCCTGGGCCACAGTGTGGAAACGTCATAAGCTTGGAGCTGTGACATTTAAGTAGCATATGAAAGTCGCAATTAAACCCTGTGTGACAGTCCTTCACAGCCTGCAGTGACACACAGGTCAGAAATTAGGTTGAGAGGACGTGAGCTATGCTGAAGGCCAAAGAACCACGGGCCACTCGGAGTCCCATAGAAGACTCCAAGTGGCCTGTGGGCTATGGAGATTGGGCTTAGCATGTTGAGATTCTGCCCAATCCTGCATACCTCAGCACCTGAGGTCCAGACCTCACTGTGGGGAGCTTGTGAAAGGAGCATCTAACTTCACTGTCTGTCTGTCCTCTTTTCTCCATGCCTGCCTATGGACAGCTGGGAGGAGCCTGCCTGCTGGGGGTTGGCATCTGGGTCCTCGTGGATCCCACTGGCTTCCGGGAGATTGTGGCTACCAACCCCCTGCTGACCACTGGCGCCTACATCGTCCTGGCCATGGGCGGCCTGCTGTTTCTTCTGGGCTTCCTGGGCTGCTGCGGGGCTGTCCGAGAGAACAGGTGTCTGCTGCTATTTGTGAGTGACTCATCCTTCACCCCAACTCTATGGGAAGCTGCTATGGGTGGGACATGGGGCTGCTGACTCCCAGGACAAGTTCTTCCCACCTGTGTGGCTGTCAGCAGTAAGGCCAGTGGGTCCTGAGATCTGGGGCGTTACTCATTGGTAGAGAACCTATATGCCACGCACAAAGTCCTGGGTTCGATCTCCAGCCCACTGATTGTCTTCAGTGGTCTGGAAGCCCTGAGATGTCCAGCTACTTACCCACAGTCCTGCAGGAGACTGGTGAGGAGGACTATGGCCAGGGATGCCATCCCAGAGTATCTTTCCAGAAATGTGAAGCAGAGACCAGAAGAAAGGTTGAGAGAGCTTTGAATCTGACACTTTCAGAGGTCAAGGTGAACCCCTGTGAGAGAACAAAGAACCTGGTTCTTCAATTGTTGGTCCAGTGAGGCTTTTGAGGTGGATGTGAAAACTGAGTTCTGCCCAAGATGAAAGCTGAGCTTTTTGACGTGGAAGATGCTCTCTATTTGCCTAGAGCAATCATGGAAGAAATAACTAACCACAATCTATTAGCTTAACTTCAGGTCTGGTATAGTCTGTACTGAGTAGCCCCAAAACCATGGCTGTTTAAGGATAGGAGATAGCTAACTGTACTATCATAAACTTGCCTCTTAGCTGTGGGACAGGAGGAAGTTGGTAGCTGTATTTAGTGTCATCAGTTTACATTTCAGCTTTGTGACTAGTTGAGAGGTCCAAGTCTGGTTCGTTCATGGCTCAGCAATAACATGCAGTGTAAAGATGGCTTAGTGGAACACAAGGGTCTGAAGATTCTTAGCTGCTTCTTAAGTCAGTCTCCCTCCTCTCCCTGGCTCTAACTCCTCACTGTCCATCCCATCACACAGAGTGACCCTGTGCCGCCCTGGGACTTCCCACCATGCCTCTGGCAGTTGGCTTCTCCTGTCCCATCCCCCACCTCCAGAAAGTCAAGCCAGTGCCCTAGGCCACTGCTCACTTGGCTGTGTTGATGCTCAAAGTCTCCCTGGGGTCTGAGCTTAGTGGACAACCCTCTAGGAGCAAGGCAGTACCTGAGCTTTGCTGCCCCAGCTGCTAAGTCTGCTGCTTGCACAGAGCCTCTGCTCACAGTTCTTGGAGTTGCTTTGGCTCTTGAGTCTAACCAGCCAGGATTCTCAGGGTACAGTCCACTGAGAACATCGGTGTTGGCTTGATGGTTTCCTTCCTCCCAAAGCACTGATCTATAGACCCTTAGTGATGAAAACTGTTGGACAGATCACTCACCCTACAACTCCACGTCCCCAATCCCCAGGGGAGACCGAATGCTTTCCGAAGCTGCTTGTTAATTCTTTGTATTTGTTACTCTTCTCATCACTATGACAAATTGCCTGACAAAAGCAACTTAGGGAAGGAATGGTTTCTTTTGGCTCAGTTTGGCGGTGCAGTCTATCAAGCGGGGAAGGCGCTGTGGCAGGAGATTGAGGCAGCTGGTCACATTGTCTCTGTGGTCAGGAAACAGAGAGAGACTCACGTTGGTGCTCTGTTCACTTTCTCCTTTTTATTCATTCTGGGACCCCAGCCTATGGGGTGGTGATGCACGTATAGGGCACATCTTCCCTGTGTGGTTAACCCAACCTAGAAACTTCCTCACAGACCTGGCTAGAGGCTTGTATCCTAGGTAGTTCTAGATCCTGCCAAGTTGACAGTCCATGTTAACCGTCACAACCTCCTACTCCTGCTTTGGGGGTTCCCTTGTAGTTTCCTTGATGCTAGAAGTAACTGGAGTAACTGACCTCTCACTCATGCCAAGCTGTGAGAGGTGACCTAACCATTGAGGATGTACTAGGCAGGAGGCAAACCTGGGTATGAGTGTGTACCCTGCTCTGTGCTTCCCATCTGGTTTCTTAGCCTCTCAGTCTCAGCATTGTTGACTGTCAAGAGGCCAACTAGCTCTGCTGGAGGTGGTTGAAACGCTGAAGACCAAGCAGCAGCAGATGGTCTTTCTCCAGATTCCCCTGGGCTCAAGTGAGATGGGCTTGCTGTCCTGGTTTTGGTGGGTGGGTTTCTCTACCAGGAGCTTCTGTGGAACTGGGGCCAAGAGAACTTCAATGTTGAGCCCAACCCTGCTGCAGGGTTCCTGCTTAGGAATGTATACATCCCTCAAACCTGCAAATGTTCCTTGTAAATAGATAGAATGCAATTCAGTGATAGGGCCACCTTGGCTGGTGGGCTGAAGGACTTCCTTGTAGGTGATTTGTAGAGGGTATATCACAAACTATGGAGGGCTCGCACAACCATCAGGCTCAGGAGCTGGGGCAGGAAACGCTGGTCAGTGCCTTACTCCTGGAGAGCAGGCCACTCAGTTCAGACCTCAGGGAGGATCCCTGAGCATGGATCAGGCAAGTGTGCAGAGATCAAAGGCATCACCTTGCAAGCAGTGAAACTGTTTTTGCTACAGACAGTGGCACCAGGCGTGCTAGAGGAAGACATCTGGCTTGGGGTTCCTCTCCGATTAAGATACTCCCATGTGGCTCATTCCTACCATAGCTGTGTGCTCCACCTCCCAGAGAGGAAGTGCAATGGCCTGTGACATGAGCAGCAGGGGAGCTGTAGGTCCTTTTATTTCTCAGAGCATAACATGGCCAACTTTACTGGGAGAGACAAAGAAACCTGTGGGTGCCCCCTGGTGGAATGTCCCTTCTGCATCAGTTATCAGTTAGCTCCTGCATGTAGCAGCTCCGTCTTGGGAGCCAAGGACTTTTAGAAGGACCTGGTCTCAGAGGGACCTATCTGTGCACTCCTAGGCATGTACCCAAAGGGTTCCATATCCTGTCACAGAGAGACTTGCCCATCCATGTTCACTGTTGCTCTATTCACAATAGCCAGAAAATGGATGAAGGGATAATGAAAATGTGATGCATATACACAATGGGATTTTATTCAGCCATAAAGAAAACTGAAATTTATTAAATTTGCAGGCAACAATGGGTGGAAATGGAAAAGATTACATTAAGTGAGGTAACTCAGGCTCAGAAAGACAAATAGCTCACGTTCTTTTCTCATGTAGATTCAAGCTTCTAATTTTTATTTATGTGTATTTATGTGGGAGTAAGTATTGGGCAGAGGCCAGAAACTAGCAAGGGGCCCAAGAGAGGGGGGGGAAAGGAGGCTGTAAGGGAAGTAATGGGAAGATACCAGAACACATATGGTATGAAAGGTGGATTGGGGGGTCTAAGAAGGAAGGGGTGAGGAGATGGGGGAGATGAGGGAGTACATAGGAGGGGTAACCCAAACTAAAGAGGTATGAAAATGCCATAAAGAAACTCACTACTTTGTATGCTAACTGAAAATACATATACAAATATGCACACATTAAAAAAAAAAAGGTTGTGAACCCTACAGGGTGGTAGTATACACCTGTAATCCCAACATTACAGGACTGCTGTGAGGTCAAGGCCAGCCTGTGCTACACTGTTGGATTCTTTCTCAGAGAGAGAGGGGGGGGAAGGATGCAGAAAGCAGGTTGTGCCTTCCCTGCCTCGCCTTGGCCTCCAGGGATGCATCACTGTTAAATGGGTCCATCCCTGCAGCCAAGCCCGGAAGGCAGCCTGTGCTCTTGGCTGAGAGCAGGCCATGCTCTGCTACTTTGCCAGCCTCAGCTAAGTGTGCCCTGAACTCTGCCTGCTGGAGAGGAGAATGGGCCATTTGTATTTTTGTGAAGTATAAGGAGAAGGTTGAGAGCTGGGGGCAGGCTGAATCACCCTAGTTCCTTTAGGATAGCTAAGAGCTGTCCCAGCCAGGTCCTCGCTGACCCTGTCTGTTTCCACTTGGTCCTTCTCATCTCTACATCAGCCCCTCCTCTCCCCACTCTGCTTCTGCCGTCTCTCAGTTTCCCTTCCTGTTCCCTCTTCTTTCCCTCCCTATCCTCTGCCTCTATCTGTTCCCAAGCCGAGTTCATACAAGGCAGAATACTCAGACTGCTGCCATCCAAATGGGGGCTGTCAGGCCCCAACCGAGAATAGATCTGGGCAGGCCAAAATTGTGTGTGTGTGTGTGTGTGTGTGTGCGTGCATGCATGCATGTGTGCATGTGTGTGTGTTCTAAATGTGTGCATGTATGTGTGAGTATACGTGAATGTGTGTTTTGTGTGCATGTGTGGTATGTGGTACTCTGTATAGTTTATTATGAAGCATGTGTACATAATTACATTTGCATATGGGTTTTGCCATGTGTATATGCTGTGTGTACCTGTGTTATATGTTTTGTGGGTTGTGTAATAGTGTGTGAGTTGTGTGCTAACACATGTACGGTCTACAGGTAGTGGGGCAGCCCTGAGGCGGCACTGACACTGAGAAGCTTTTCTGTTTTTCTAAGAGAGTCTCATGTAAGCCCAGGCTGCTATGGGGACAAGGATAAGGACCTTGAACTTCTGCTCTTCCTGCCCATACCACAAATGCCAGCATTCCAGGTGTGCTCCCAGGTCCAGTTTGTGCAGGGCTGAGGGTCCAGCCCAGGACTGAGTATGCTAGGCAAGCATTCTGCCTATTGAGCTACAGCCTCACCCCTTCTGGAAGGTTTTCTGAAAGGCTCCAACCAGTTCTCTTTCCAAACCTGAAGCTGGTTGTGTGGTTGCTCCTGTGAAGAGGGCCAGAGTCAGACCCTGGTGGCATCTCTGGCTCCCTGAAAGATTTTGACTTCCTCTTTAGCCTGGCTGTCTGGACAGGGCAAATAGAACATGGCTTTAGCCATCCTAGGACCCTGGCCCCAAGGTCTGCAGCAATAAGTCCTGGATATGAAGGAACCCTTGGTTGGTTCTGGGGCCGAGAACCCCAAGTCTGAGGAATATTGGCCCTGTGACTAGTCATCTAATGGCTAGCCTAGCTAAGTGTGGGTCAGTGTCCACAACACAAGCTTTTGCCACACTTCTAACGGTCTATCCCGGCCATTTCCTGTATGTCACCTCTGAATGTCACAAGGAATCCTATGTTCAACTTACCCAAAGATTCTAATTTTAACAAGGGCAGGGAGGGGGAAGAGGGGAAGGGGGAAAGAGAGTTAGTGTATTTAACAGTTACATGAGCTGTACCATGTGCACATTGGGAACTGTTTATGAGGGAGGAGGACCAGGACATTCCCCATGGGTAAGAGCACCCAGGCTCTGCAAACCTTAGTGCTCAACAGAGGTAGAAATCAAAGGGTGGGATTTCCCAGGGAGGGTGTGTTTGGTCCCCTGGGGAAAGTCCCAACCAGCAGGAAGCTGTGGGTGCAGGAGGAAGTCACTTGGCTGGAGGAGTCCAGGGGAGCGGAAATAGCATTGTGTCCAGCATAGGTATTGCAACCTAAACTTTCCTCTTGAAATCACACCCTGTGAAGGGCAGATCTGCCCCAGGTGGGGGCTGCCAGGCTCTATGCCTCTGGGCAGGCTTCTCTTCCCCTTTCCCAGGCCAAGATTTGCCACATTCATTCTTGGCATCTCTCCTGAGGCTTCAGATCTGTGCAGCCCACCCCAGGGTGAGTGTGTGTCTGCCTTGTGTATGTCAGCTTGTTCATGCCCAGAGTATCTCAGAAGCTTTGGGATGGAGGTGCAAGGATGTGACAGATCCAAGGTGACGGTGAGAACTTGAGCTTTGAAGTTTGGCTGTGTATCCCAGAGCTGGCTGTTTAACCTCTCTAAGGTCTTCATGTGCAAAATGGGACAACCAGATCTTCCCAGCTGTCATTCTGTTTTTACAATCCACTGGGAAAATATGCATCTTACTTGGCTCTGCTCTGACTTGACACATGGGTAATGAAAATAATCAGAGCTGGTCATTCAAGACTCTTAAGAACTGAAAGCTCCTACAGTCACCCCAAAATTTGCAGTTCCACCACCTGCAGTCACCCCCAAATGGCAACAACACCAACTCTTCTTAGAGACATAGCCCAACAGTAAAATGGAGGGTTGATGCTCAGAGCACATGCCCCTTCCCCAAGCTGCAGAAAGGAGATCACCATGAGTGGCGTGCTACACTGAGGTGGTGAGAGCCAAGAACTGTTTTTCCTAGATGGCATCCAGGCTTCCATGAGTTCTCAGTGGTCTTCCAAGCAGATCAGTGAAGGCGCTCTCAAACAAAGCTTGTCGCCTACAATCTCACGAAAACTGCAAAGTGACCGTGTATGGGCACATGCCTGCCATGATTTGTGACTCTTGAACATCGCCAGCATTGCAGGCATCACTGTGGGGTCAACAACCTGAGAACCTGCCAACAGTCAGGGAGGTCACAGAGCAGGAGGGGCCCTGGAGAGGCCATGATGAATAGAGCTGATGGCCAGCCAAATGGAAGTGCAAGATCTCTGCCAGGGTGGAAGATGGAGAGGCTGCAAGGACACTCAGTGGCTGCTCAGCCCAGAGATAACCAGACTCATGGAGGCCAGGTCAGAGGGTGACAGAAAGGACTGGGGAGCAGCAACTAGGGTACTACCCCAGGCCTAGGAAGCATTCTGTCCATTCTCACACTGCTCCTTGTCCTCAGCCCAAGACCACTCCAGTCTCTGAGAAATGCTGGGTTTCTGGCTGGAGTCAACTCTCCACCTGCATGTGCCAGGCTGTCCCACACTATCACTAACATGGCTGCTATTCAGCTGCCAGGTTTCCTTTGGGCTGCAGGTCTTCTCTGAGCATAGAGGCAGGAGGAAGCCCCAAGAAGGAGAGGGTTGACCCGGGGCTTTCCAGTCTTCATACCTTTGGACCAGTTATTACCTCCCCAGCCTCCCTTACTCATCTATAGACAAAAGAAAGCCATAGAGACAGCCATGGGAAAGACATGGGCTGATGCCATACATCCCAAGGCCAGGGTCTGTGTCAGAAGTCAGAGGCAGCTTGAACCTGAGTGCCTTCCCATCTACTTCCTGGAACAGTGGAGTGTAGGGCTACCAGGGATACAGAAAAACCACAGGTTACTCCCTCAGTAAAGCAGTGGGCCAGAAAGACAGTCCCATTGTGGATAGTCTAAGATAGGCCTTCTCTCTTCAGACATTGCATTGACAGACCATTTGACATGTCTAGGAGCCTGTCTGTGTTTTACAGCCATCCTTCATTCTTCCCAAAGTGGCCTGATGGGAGATGCCATTCTGTATATATGTTTCTCATACTGGTTAATGAATAAAGCACTGTTGGCCAATAGGAAAGAAAGATAGGAGGGACTAGGACACAAGGAGGAAAGAGAAAGGAGTAAGGAGGGGTCAAGATGGAGAGTCTGGAGAGAGCTGGACGCCAGCTGGCTCTCCAAGGGTAAGAAGAGACCACGTGGAAACACATAGATTAGCAAAAATGGGTTAATACTTAAGACAGAGCTAGCCGATAAGAAACTAGTACCTGGCCAACAGCATTATATCAAATGCAGAGTCTCGATGTGTTGGTTGGGGCTGGCGCGGTGGCGGGACAAGACCAGTGGCAGGCAGAAAAACCTTACTCGCTACAGTGGACCAAGTTCAACAATTTGGGACCTGTCTGGGGAAGCTATGTTGGAGCAGAAAAGCCAAGTTGGAAAATGACTGGGGTCTCTCAGGGTAAGGATAAATTGATAGAATTTTTGATGGGAAAAGGCCCAGGGCACCCAAGAAGTCTTGGTTTAGTTCTTAGCAAGAGGGGGCTTCTATAGCTCATCCAAGTGGCCTGGAGACACTTTCACAACATGGGGATATTCTCAATCCATTATATTATTCAGCCTCATTACCAGCCCCAAGTTACTGAGAAAGAGAGACCTGGGATACCCTCAGGCTAAGCCCAACACCCCCTCTCCCTCTGGTCCAGTACAGCCAATACAGGCTGACCAGCCTGAATGTGGCCAGGAGGATGGGATATAGGGACCAGCCTCTGTATGCTCACTGTGGGTCCTCTGCTGGTGACTCCAGCAAGGGTATGGAGTTTGTAACTGTACTGGGAAAGACAAGCCAAAGTGCATCTTCCTATGTTTGGGGGCAAATTCAAAACAGTGTTGGTGAGGACCAGAGCCTGAGACACACAACATATCACAGGGCTGCCATGACAATTTGTTCATTTTTTGAGGTCTCTCAGCTACTAGATAAAGGCAGCCTACAGCGAGTGACAAAGTCTGACAGTAGGGATCTGCTGGGGTGCCTCTGTTTGATGCTATAATGTGCAGAGGGCTTGTTGAGAGGTCAGGAAGGCCTCTCAGGGGTGAGGCTGGAGCTTAACTTTGGCACAAGGAACCATCCAGCCTGGGAGGGCCCCACACCAGAGCATCCTGGATAATCTGTAGAACATAGGAATTTAGTGAGTAGAACAGACAGAGTTCTGTGCTGAACATCAAGCTCCCTTCCTCTGGACTTTCTGGAAGTCCCACTGTCTTTCTGACCACCTCACACTTCTGTATCAGCTGAAGACAACATGACTTCCCTGCTTCCACTGAAGGTAGCATGGACTCTATTTCCATGGCAACCAGAACCACTGGGGTAAGAAAAAAGTGGCCTTGAGGTTGACAGGGTGAGAAACCCAGCCTGGGATCCACAAGGATCCAAGATCCCACAGCTTGGATAATTCATAGAGGGAAATATCCCCAAAGGGAGCCCAAGCAAATTGCAGCAGCAGCAGCCTCCTCCCAGGGCCCCCAGGTAGAGCTCTTCAGGTTGTACCCTGCACAAAGCAGCTTATCTCAGGGACCATGTGCTCGGAAGACAGATTTATTTTGGCTGCATTGCTCATACGTTTTATTGCAACTCTGTGGCTCCAAGGGTAGATCTTTGGTGTGTTTGTTATGAAAACAATGATTTATGGCAGGGAAGGTCTGTCATACAAGATGAGTATACTCCATCTATCACGGAAGGATGCACGGTAAGATGATGCCCACGTGGTCCTCATGACTGCTTTCTCTCTGCAGTTTTTCCTGTTTATCCTGATCATCTTCCTGGTAGAGCTCTCAGCAGCCATCCTAGCCTTCATCTTCAGGGAGCACGTATGTACCACTCAGCTTCCCACCCTGCCAGCTTCACTACCCACCAAGCACTGGAGGCCTCCTTAAAGAGACTCTTAGAACTAGCTGTCTCTCATCCAGTTCCACAAGCCTAAATATGACCTGCATCTCAGGGAGGGGTCAGGGTCCAGAGCAACCCAGCCCAATGAAGTCTCCTCCTGTAGGAGTATTTCCAGAAGTCCTCACCCAGGGGTGCCTGTGGGTCACCTCTTCTGGACCACCTGATATAACCTCCAGTCTGGTTCTAGAATTTATGTCCAACCCAGTGACACCCTGATGATGGGTGTCACATGATCAGGTGGTTGGAGAGGACAACCCCAGTCTGGGCATGTTGTGTGCCACGCTAGGTTACCAGTCCGTCTGAGTAGCCTATCTACATCATGAGACATTCATTCTAGAAGCCTCAGCCAGCTTCTTACCCTGAGCCTAGTGGGCAAGGCCTGGCACCACAGCTGAAAGGGCCTGAGCTCCAAACAGGAGAGCAGGAAAGATAAGACACATGGGCCAGCCTGAGACAAGGAGCCAGCTTGAGGAAGCTGTTGAGGACAGTGACTTTGAGGACATAGCTGGGAGCTATGGGTAATTGAAGTCTCCCTCTTTACTCGCAATCTGGCTCCTTGTTGGTTGGGCCTGGCACCTGCTTATTTGGAGGGATGGGATGACAGTCACCCCACTCCCACACTCATCCTCTGAGAAGAACTGCAAGGTTGAGCAGGGTTCCCAGTGTGTTCCACCCAGGGTTAGTTGAGGCCTGTGATGACACAGCAAGGCCCAAGCCTGGGGAAGGGGTGCCTGCCCAAAATGAAAACTTAGGATGACCTGGGAGGCCAGGCTGAGAAGTCTCAGCACCCTCTCCTCTGTCCCCAGCTCACCCGAGAGTTCTTCACCAAGGAGCTCACCAAGCACTACCAAGGCAATAATGACACGGACATGTTCTCTGCCACCTGGAATTCGGTCATGATCACAGTGAGTGCTCCTCTCTCATGCCATCCTGAGATGCATGAGCATTCAAAGTCATAATGTTGACATGAAAAAGCTCAATGCCCTGCCTGTGCCAGACATCAATAATAAATCAAGAATCACTGATCCCACTCTTGGCCAGTGAATCATCATTTGTGTAGCACTCACATCTGTCACAGCTAGTGTTTCACACAGTACAGATTCCCCTCAAAATCTGTTTTCTGCCCCTGACTTAAGTCTCAAGCACTAGCTAGCCATTGTCACTGATGCTGATAATAATCAGTACAGGGGCTGGGGAGGTGGTTGAGTCAATAAAGTGTTTGCTGTGTTATCATGAGGACCTGAGTTTCATTCCCCGCACCCATGTTAAAAAAAACAAAACAAAAAACAAAACAAAAACAAAAAAACAGGTGTTATGATGTATGCTTACAGTCCCGACACCCGGGAAATGGAGACAGGTATATCCTTGGGGCTCACTGCTCAGTCAGCCTAGCCTAATCTATGAGCCTTATGTCCCAGTAAAAGCCCCTGTCTCAAAACATAAGATACAGCTGGGTGGTGGTGGCACACACCTTTAATCCCAGCACTCTGGAGGCAAAGGCAAGTGGATCTCTTGAGTTCAAAACCAGCCCGGCCTACAGAGCAAGTTCCAGGGCAGCCAGGGCTACACAGAGGGGGAAAAAAAGGATAGCACCTGAATAATGACATCTGAGATTGACCTCTGGCCTCCATGCATATATACACATGCCCCCCAACACCCACCCATACATCTGCACATGAATAAATATGCATATAATATACACATGCCAAATGTAACAGTTATAAAATCATAGCAACTCCATGTGAAGTACTTACTAAGTGTTATAAAATCATAGCAACTCCATGTGAAGTACTTACTAAGTGTTAATGAGGTAAGGAACATACTGCCATGCCCCTGTTACAGAGAGGACCCTGAAGTGCAGGGACACTGGTCATCACCACTGTCCCACAGAGGGCAGAGGGAGCTGGGCCCTGGCAGAGGCTGACATCCCCTCTGGTCCAGCTCTAGTTGCCACTTCCGGGTCTCTTCTAGTTTGGCTGCTGTGGGGTCAATGGACCCGAAGACTTCAAGATGGCCTCGGTGTTTCGGCTGCTGACACTGGACAGTGAGGAGGTGCCCAGGGCCTGCTGCCGGAGGGAACCCCAGACTCGGGATGGCATGCTGTTGAGCAGGGAGGAGTGCCAGCTGGGGAGGAGTCCATTCATAAACAAACAGGTACTGCCCTGTTCCCTGCAGGGAGACACTCCGCAAATATGGGCAAAGTCGTGAGAAGCAATGTGTGCCCAGGGGTCTGAAAGTAGTCCAGAGCTTTTTTGGCAGAGTTCTGGCTGTGGCATGGGCTCCTCCTCATGCCTCTGAGAGTCAAGGGAGTGGGCAAGAGGGCCACGTGGACAGGAGAAGAGTTGGGAGCAGGTTGCAGTGGGAAATTGGGATGTGGTTCCAAGGTAAGTTTTCCAAACTTCTAATAATAAAAATCAGAGTTGGGGTGGCAGGGGTGGGGGCCTCCTTAGGCATGCACTCTATGTGTGAGGAAACTTACTGTGGTCAATTAGGAACACTCCTTGATCCCAGGTGAGTAGGCTCTCATTGACCTGACCCTAGACAATCAGAGAAGCATCTAGATGTCTTTCTTCTCTTGTAATCTGAGGGTTTTGTTTCAGCCTTGTTTCTCTTAGGGGAAAACTAAGGTCCCAGCTGTGTCCCCTCAACACCACTTCACCCTTGGTCCCCTCCTTCCTGCCGGCTAGAGGCCCTGTCCCTCTATAAAGAGAGACTGGGACAGAGGTTGGGCAGGGCAGGCAGGGAGGAAGGAGAGGATGAGGATGAGAGCCACACCTGGGTTTCTCCCCTGGCCAGACTTCCCTGGAAGAATCCCAAATACCAGGGAACCTGTGGAGCACAAGAGACAAGGCCCAGCTCCCGTGGGGATCCTGATCTAGGGAGAGGTGGTAGGAAGATGGTGAACCAGCAAACTAAATTGATCCTTGCCCACAGCAGTAGTCATGAGGGTGAAAATCAAATCGGTTGAAGAAAGTGCTGCAATGTGCATGAACTGGAGCTTAGTCCCAGTCCCAGAGTCCTGGAGGAGGGTGTCATTGGGATGAGACTGGATTGCATGGCCTCACTCAGCCCTTGTCCCTGTACCTCACCTGGGAAGAGGCCAGAGCTCAGCTCCCCTACCACACAGCCCGCCTTCCTACTCTAGAGAAAGAGACTCACATAAAGATGGAGAGTGCTGGGATGTGGATGCTGTGGAGAGAGCAGGCCACTGAAGGTTTGGATTACAGGGACCTATGTGAAGAGCAAATAGAACTTGGGAAGCACCGAGGATGTGTGGAGTCTCATACTTCCACTGCTGACAGGTCTAAGCCATTACCTGCTCACTGAAAGCCAAACCTCCTGACCCAACCGCTTCCTTGCTCCTTCCCCTGCTAGGGAAGAAAAGTCTGCCACAGCTCAGGAATGTGCCTCTCCTGCTATCTCTCAGAGGCCAAGGGAATATGAACAAAGAACATTTGGACAACTGTGACACCCCCACCTCCACCAGAATGCAGCCACCCAGGACCTTGCTGAGGACAGGGAGCACTGGACAGGGAGCTGACTGAGGACAGAAGGTCTGCAAAGAAAGAAGACCATAGAGAAGATGCAGTCTCCTCACTGAAGGAGCTGCTGAGGGCTCAGGAGTTGGGTGGGATTGGGAGAGAGTTCACAGCCAGGCCCCTACCCCCTCCTGCTTCCTGAACTTTCTTCTGCAAGCTCCTGGTTTCTAGACACTTCCCGCAGGACCACACAGCCACAGTGATTCCATCACAGAGCCTCTCCAGGCTCAGTGGGACTAGCAACTTGGGCTGATTCTCTCACTCACATCTCCTCTGAGTCATCTTTCTGTTAAGACCTCCACTGGGAGACCATCTCCAATTAGGTTCTCTCAGAACTGCCTTCTACAAAGCCCAGGACACATTTGTGACTGGCACAAGCAAGAAGTGTGGAGTTCCTTCAGGGATGTTGGCGGGGTTGGCACTTTGTCTGCCCTGGAGCTAGGAATTCAAGACAGTTCTCCATGAACAGTGTTCCCAAGGAGGAAGGATGGTGCAACAGACCGGAGTGGGGGTGAGGTGAATTACTGGCCTTGTGACAAGTCTCGTTGTGAGTACAGGCACATGACAGTGGTATTCCTATGCTTTCAGGGTTGAGAGACATTGTGTGTGACGTTTGGGAAATGTTGAGTGTGACATACCTTTGAGGTACCCAGACAGGGATTCCAGATAGGCAGTGGGGTGCTCATCCTAGGAAGGGCACCTTAATGATGAGAATGTGGGAGTTACTGCTCAGGATGAGCTGCCCTCTCTGTGGTTGTCTTGGGGTGACAATGAGCAGGAACCAGGGTGGGGAACATTCCATCTTGAACACTGCAGGACAGGTGCTATGACACCTATCTACAGAGTGATGTTCTGTCCCTGTGCCAGATGGGGGTGCTCCATCATGGGGTGATACACAGGATGTGGCCAGTTCCAGGATCTGATGGGGACCTTGGCCACACGAGGACAGGCATTTCTGAAGTATAGTTCCATCCCCTCAGGATAGAGGGGAAAGGAATCCCAGGCCCCTCTCTAAATCTGGACTTCCCTTCTTGCTGTGTGCATGACCTTGAGTGAGCCACCCACCTGCTCTCTCCTTTTCCTAGGAGGCAAACCACAGAGAAGCCACTTCTCACTAGGGGCTGCACGGAGGACCAAATGTTTCAGGGCACATAAAGTAAGCTCCTGACAGAGGGAATGATAAGTGTAGGTAGCACCATCCCCTCTGCCACTCATGCCTAGGACTTCCCTGTCCCTGGGAAATTTCCACCAGCCAACCTTCTGCTCAGCTTGAGTCACTTGTGCTTGGGTCTGTGTGTATCTAGGCAGTCTGTCCCCTCATTCCCTGGGGCTGAAATGGCAACCTCCCCTTGCATAGCTCCTAGCTTGAAAGATGCTGTGACTCCTACCTGGCCACTCTCCCTGCTCAGATCCTACTACTGTCTGCTTGCTCAGAGAAAGCCCCCTGAGGTTCACTTCTAGCCAAAGATACTGGGATTCTGGTTAGGAAACAGCAAGAGATTTTAACACCAAGATCCCAGTCTCAGAAGAACCGGAAAGCCAATAGTCACCCCACATAGATGGGCACGATTCCACCCTCGCCACACGACCAAGCCAGTCCATTTGGAAGTCCTCCAGTTGGGCCCAAAGCATATTCAGACAGCCGTAAAAGAAAGAAAATGCTTGCTTCTTTAAGAATGTGTTTTAGATGACTGGAGGTATATCTCAGCCAATAGACTGGTCTAGCATGCATGAAGCCTAGGTTCCATCCCAGCACCCCATAAACTGTGTAATCCTAGCACTCAGGTGATAAAGCCAGGAGAATTAGAAGTTCAAGGTCATCCTTAACTACATAGAGAGTTCTAGGGTAGTCAGGAATACATGAGATCCCATCTTTTAAAAAAATGCATATATTTCATTCGGAATGAGATGGGCGTGACTCTTTTGTGGTCAGCATTAGGTCCTAGGTTTGATATCCAGCACTGCCTGTATATATAATTCACAGAGAAGACTTGTTATGGTCTGGTATCTGTGGCCACCATGGGAGGAGCAGTGGACACAAAGTATAATGTGTGTGGCGCCCAGTCTCCCCTTGTCTTGTCTCCCCTTGCTTACCTGACATCCAAGGTTCTAGGAGGCATAGGCACAAGAGTCACATGGAGGTGGCTGTTCCTATGAGACTGGGGGAGGAGGGCTGTGAAAGCTAGAGGCTGGCTTGCCTTGCCTTGAGCCACAGGTGGAAAATCACCAATCCCTCCACAGTCAGGCTGGTCAAGAGAGGGACTGAGGGGCGCTGTGAATCTCTGCAAGCTGCCATCCCTCTTGGTGGACAGGTGAGCACCATAAGACATTCAGATTGAAGAAGCCCAGCCCAACCAGCACTACCTTTGGGGTTCGATCCCCACTTGTAAGGAGCACCGGGAAGCCTAGGTGTTTGGACATTGCCTCATGCCCTGGGTATGAGGCTGAGTTAGTCTTGGGAAGTTTTCAACCTGTCTCAGGGACTGGATGTCACCAAGGGGGGGATATTGTCAAGTCTGTCAATGACCTGATACTTCATTCTCCCTACATCAGTATGAGAATGGCTGAGCCCTGTGGCCAATGCCAGGGACTTCAGTGACCACAATGGTGCCAAGCTGCAGAATGCACCTCCCTCAACCCTGGCCTTTCCTTCCCAGGGCTGTTACACAGTGATCCTCAACACCTTCGAAACCTATGTCTACCTGGCTGGGGCCTTTGCCATTGGGGTGCTGGCTATAGAGGTGAGTAGAGCCCCTGAAAAGATGCCCCAGGGCCTAGACACTCAGCCTACTTCCCAGATCCATGACTGCTGCTGCTGCTGCTGCTGCTGTTGCTGGAGACATTCTGGTAGCCTAAAGCTACATGTCTGATTGTCCCAAAATAGTGAGAGCAGACAGGCCCTGAGAGGCATTTCACCTCACCCCAGCTCTGCAGTCCAAGGACACTTTGTGGGATATGTGAACTGCCTTGAAGGCTGGGTGGGGCTTCTGGATAAGACCCTGATTTTACAAGTGTTCAGAGTGTCTCTTTAACTTGGCAATGGTGCTTTAGACCCCTTCATGACAGGGCCCCAGAGCATACACATCTGAGTGGCTGCTGACCTCTGAGCTACCACTAGGTGGTGCTTCAGTCTTCCCTTCTCACAGTGCCCTGCCAGTTCTACAATGAACTTGGGGGCAATGAATCCAGGCATCCTGATGTTTGGCCCTTGCCTCCTGCACTTCAGGGCCCCCTTCAAGGATGCTCTGGTCACTTGGCACCCTGGATATCTCCTTGTTCAGTGTCTTCTGTGCCTTGTCTCGGGATAATAGTTCTGTGTAAGCCGCAGAGGAAATGGAGGCGTTATTCATTAACTCCACAAGCATATATGGAACCCTTGCTGTATGTTAGCACTGCTGGGAGTGAACAAGGCTTCCTGTGGGAACTAAAACCAGAAACAGACACACAGATCTTCCCGAGGCTGGGCAAATTTCAGGATTGTGTCTGGTGTACATAGCTTTGCCTCACTGTAGCCACAGGTCGAGGTTAAGGTACTATGACTTCTGTAAACCTCATCATGTCCCGTGAGCTATCAGAGGGTGCAGGGGCTAGAAGAAGGGCTCTGAGGGCAGTATATCCCTGCTCAAGCCAGGCTACCCCACTGGCGCTGTGTAACCTGAATCAGACTTCCCAGTAGAGCCTCACTTCCTGCTGCTTAGAAAGGCTGCTGACATAGCACTTAAAACCTATTTTACATGGTAAGTGCTTGGGACACACTTGGGGCCCAAGAAAGGCTATGCTTTGCTTGAGGTCTCCACCTACCCGAGGAATACAGATTTGAATTGTTTAAACAGGTCACTTGCTTTCAAAACTCTCATTTTAGATGGTGAGTGTGTGCTTGCCCTGGGCAGTGTCAAAAATCCTCTCAGGAGGCATGCTGGGTGGCCCCTCAGCAAGAACCCAACCTAACTCTGGGTCACCTTCTTTCTCTCTCTGCAGCTTTTCCTCATGATCTTTGCCATGTGCCTCTTCCGGGGCATCCAGTAGTCCATGGTCTAAAGATACCCAGCCCACCACTGCCCAGTAGCCAGCCCCTCTCTTCCTTATGCTATGCCCCCAGGAGAGGAGGCAAGGCCAGCTTGGATGTCCAGGAGCATACAACTAATTTTTTTAAACAAAACAAAACAAAGACTGATGTGAACTGAAGATGCCTCACTTGGCTCCAAGGCAAGAACCATGGGTTCAGCAAGGATTTATGGCTGGCCTCGGACCAGCTGTTCCTGAGACCAAAGGATTATCAGCCTCAGAGCCCCTGGGCCCTGTCAGACTGGACTGTCCCTTGGCCTTCATTCCTTCTCTTAGCATTTCCAGGATCTGAGCAACCAGAAGACAGAAACACACCCTTGTGGATGAGCCAGAGCTCAGAGGCTCCACAGAGATGCACTTTTCACACCACTAGGATTGACTCTGCAGCGCCATCTGCTGGACGGTGAAGCTGTTCCTGCACCTGGCGGGCTGAGAGTGGCTGCATGTGGATCTGAACATGGCAGTCTATGATTTCCTCATCTCTTGGATCAAAGCCTCTCCAAGGCCCAGAAGAGGGCAATGACTTGTCCACATTCACATAGTATGCGCATGACTAGGTCATCTCTGGGCCGCTATCACTCCAGCCAGGACTGCTCAAGTATCCCAATGTAAACTGGCCAGGAATTGACTGCACCAAGTTCTACAGCTGAGAAAAATCCAGACTGTATCCACTCTGCCCTGCTTGTAACTCTAACCTAAGCCTACTGTCACCTATCACCTGTCCCCGTGGGCCATACCCCTCCCAATGGGAGGCACCCCCAATATTGTTCATTTCTCTCTTTCTACCCAGAGCTGAGGCTGGAATGTGGTCTTCAAGGCCCCTGCCATGAATTCCCCTTGCATACCTCCACAAGTGGAGCTCACTACCTCCCAATGCAGCCTCCTGCCTTCTGAAGCTCTGGCATCACCACACCTCAACAGACAGAAAGGTTTTCCATTCTCCTGCGCCTCTCTCCACGTGGCTCCTTCACTCTCCCCTTCCTAGAGATTAAGGACATAACTTTTGTCTGCAGACTTAAAGAACCCCACAGCCTCTCAGCCATTCCACAATGACATGCTTTCTGAATTTATGCTGTCCATGTGACATTTTTTTTATTCTCTCTAGGCTCAGACTCACAAGTTCACAACCAAAACACACCACACACACACACACACACACACACACACACACACACACACAACTCTGACTACAGACTAGGTTGCCAACTGTGTTACAAGATGTCTGACCCTGTCAGGACTGTGTTGAATCCATTAGTGTTGTCTGTCAGGATCTCAAGTTTGATTAATGATGTCTGCCATGGGCTCAGCAGAGTGAGATAGGGCAGTGATGGAAGGAACACTGTGGTATCTGCTCTCCTCAGAGCCTAACCTAATTCCAGCTGCTCTCTCTGCCTTCCTGCCACCTGGGAGAGACCAGAGCTCCCAAGTATGGACTACTGTTCAAGGGGACCCTCCTCTCATTCCTGTCCTCACTCATCCTGGCCTTCCTGGGCATCTTTGAGCACCACTTTTCCAAGTTGTTCTTATAACAGCTTACTTGGCATTCCCATAAATGAAGCCAGAGACTGAGCCTCCAGGTCAGAGGACCCTGATGCTGGCTCCCAGTCCAGACTAAGAGAACCTTGGCTCTGACTCAGAACCCACCACATACTGGACTTCAGCTGCCTAGGAAGGCAAATGAGTCAGCTGAGGTCGATTGGAAGCTCATGGCCCAGCTAAGCAGGATAGAGCCCAGCTACAGAGGCTGCTGCCCAGTGCTAGCCCAGGCTTCCAGAAATGGCAGGACTGGGACAAAGAGAGCTGAGAAGGCAGATATATAGCCCAGGCGGTTCCAGGGTAGATCAGACTTTCACCAGGAGAACTTTACATACAGATATTGAAGAGCCCCAAGGTAGCCCAATTCCAGCCTAGCTGTGGGTCTATCCCCTCTGTCAGTATCCCATGGGACCAGAGGGGGATAGGCAGTCCACCCTGTCAGGTTGCTAGTAGCCAACTACAGCTGTCTGAGGTCACTAATGGAGTTGGGTGGGGTGTTCTGTGTACTCTCAGGGGAGGGGAGCAGAGTCCTCCCTTTACCTCTCACTCCAGGTCCAATAGCTTCACCTGAGATGCCCTGTGATTTCACCCAGTAGTGAGCAGAACAGCCCCTGCCTGTCCCAGAGCCACTTGCCAAAGAGACAGCAGTAATCTACAGACAGGGACTGAGACTGAATCTGTGGCCCATGTCCCTTCTCAGCATCCTGATCTACCCAGGTCCTGAGCCCAGCACCCCACCCCAAGGAACCCTAACACACACACACACACACACACACACGCACACACACACACACACACACACTATAGTCTATTTTGAAATCTGTAAATGTCCCTTGCAGTAGGAAACAGAGCTAATTTATCATTGTACTTCCAAGCCCCCCTTTTATATTCTATATCAAGAGAAATTTTGTAATATAAAACAGGACATCACACAGATTGTTTTGCACTGATTTTTTGTGACTGTTTCTTACAAAAAGAAAGACTGAGGAATAAATAGTGACCATGACAGAGGTGGTCTTGGGGGAACTGAGGCAGAAGCATGACAAGAGGAGCTGGGGGGCAGCCAGGGCACCCCAGCTTGGATTCAGGGTGGAGTTCCTATCTCCATCACTGCCTCCTTCCAAGCTTAGTTTCTCCTGGAGACCACAGGCGTCTGTACTGCCAGTCTTTTTCTGTTCTTGATCCCACCCCCATATGAAGATATCACACCAGGGTGACCTGGCCACCACACCCCCACCCCAGGACAGGATCTGCCATCTCCTGTCACTGAGGGGAAGACTGGCAGATGTCCCCAAAGGGCTGAGCATGGCTGGCATTTTCTACTTCTCTGACTACCTTCCTTGGGACTCTGTCTGCATTTGCAGAGGATCCAAAAGGATAAGTCCCATCACCGGTGGAAATAGTCAACAATACCACCCAGTCTACAGCAGCCGGGACTGTACTGGGAGGTGGCAGTGGCTGAACCTGTGCTCTGAGTCAAGAGGTGGGACTGAGGGATTGGCACAAAGCCAACGGCAGAAGGAGGATGTACACAACAGTCCCTTCTTTTTTTTTGGGGGGGGGGTGGCGTTCAAGACAGGGTTTCTCTGTGTAGCTTTGAGGCCTGTCCTGGCACTTGCTCTGTAGACTAGTCTGGTCTTGAACTCACATAGATCCACCTGACTCAATGGTCCCTTCTTGAAAGCACAGATTCTCACCACTCTGTCAGACCATGGTTACAGAAGCAACCCAGGCCACTGCTGGGCATGTTTCCCACTGAAACATCCCTGGAGTGCCCCCTGCTGGGTGTGGGCATAGTCATGGGATGTGCAGCTGCAAGGCCCCATGGGCCCAGGGGAGCTGTGAGCCCCAGGTGCCCTAGAGAAAAGCTCCTCAGGCTTGGGGGAGGGTGTGTGTGCATGGCACCACCCCTTGCAGAAAGGAACAAGATAGAATTCCGGGTACCTCTCTTCCTTAGTGTGCTGGGAAGGAAAGTGCTGGGAGCTAGGACCAAGGGGAGGGGCCACACTGGGTGGTGGCACCAGGGGTGTCCAGCTCTGGAGGCTCACTGTCAGGGTGCCAAGGAGGGCAGACCCACTTCTGTTTCCTTACTTCTATAGTTTGAGGGGCTGGAGGCCTTGGAACAGCCTGGGAGTGGGGGAATCTTGAGGAGGCACCGGGCCAGGTGTAGCCATGCAGGCCTTGGAGACCATGCTAAGGAAATGTTCCTGCCTCTCTTCAGAATTCCTCATGCACCAGGAGCCTATGGCCAGCTGAGGTGCCAGGGCCTGTCAGGGCCTGTGGTATAATGTATAACCCTGGCCTGTCGGGGAGGGGCTCTGGAACTCTAGGGTGCAGACAGCCAGAGTATCAGAACACTCTACAGTAGGCCAAAGAGAGGGTCGGGTATGCAGGCCAAGGATGGCGACCTAGGCCCAAGGGAGACAGCCATTCCCTTGCTAGCTGACCACAGTAGGGGCTCTGAAAACTCGTGTGTGTGTGTGTGTGTGTGTGTGTGTGTGTGTGTGTGTGTGTGTGTGTTTGGGATGTGAGGGACTCATATGGGGGAGCTTTCGCATTTCTGGATAGAGAGAAGTTGAGACCTTCTGCTGTGGCTGATACAATCTTCTAGAGAGAAAAGGGCTCCCTGGCAGAGGAACTAACCTTGACTCAGCCCAGAGGCCCCAGCCATCCACTCTAGACTGTGTGTCTGTTAGAGTCTGGAGGTCAAGAAAGCTAGGGCAAGGGGTGGTCCCTGTATGGGGTGAGGAGTGGGGTGCAGAGGCCCCAGCCTGCGGTCACTCCTAGAAGCCCAGGAGGTCCAAACTGACTCCAGGGAGCACCTGGGAGGGAAGGAAGGTGGTGCACCCTGCCTGCTTGCAGGTCTGCCTGGGGCCCACAGATAGTGAAGTCCCCAGCCACTCTGGCCCAGGTCCAGGCCCAGGCAGGTCCCAGCCAGCTACACTTTCTTGGGTTTCCGGCCGACTTGGTAATAGTAGTAGATGCTGACAATGACAAAGAGGAGGCGGCTGGCCAGGAGCAGCAGGGTCCCCAGGGACATGAGGCCCGTCTCAGCAAGTGTGGCAGTGACCACTGTGAAGGAAGTCAGGGAGCCAGAGGTCAGGAGCGGAAGTGTGTTCAAGCCCCTCCCACCATGATGCTATGCTACACGCCCTCCTTCATCCCTGGGGAGAGGGGGCTCAACACCAGCTCAAACCAGCTGACAGATACCCCTAATCAGCTGTCCCCCAGTGACAGGTGACAGCGATGCACAACCCTGAGTGTCAGTGGGTAGCTTCTTCTTGAATGCTCCTATGGGAGGGAGCAGGTAGGTTGTGGATTAGGACACAGGTGTCTGTCACAGTCCCCAGTGCTCTGCCCCCCTTCTCCTGTACCTTGCCAGCCTTCCCAGCCCACACTACTCACCCAAGGACTGCACCCCAAAGTAGCAGGCCTCAGTGAGCAGAGTCCAGCGGATGATGACCTTCTCAGCTGTGTAGAGTGCGTTCCACATGATCAGGGAGATGCCTGTTAGGGTCGAGCACAGGGTTGGCCTGGCCCCCAGCCTGCAAGTCTGAACCTCCTTATCCCACAGAGTCCACTCCTCAGATTGAACTGCCCCTCGCCCTGTCCCCAGTCCTTGTATCTACAGACACAGCACTGCTCTCGAGGCTGTTCACATTGCCTCTACAGCCCCAAGGACACAGGCCGGTTCTCTCCCCTGGGACTTAGTGTCTTCATCCACACAATGAGAGGAGCGCCTCCAGCTCCACTCCAGCTCTGTCCTTGTGAGGCTGTGTGGAGAAGTGGAGTCTGGGAACTCAGTTATCCGGGCCTACAACTTAGTGTCCTTAACAGAGGAGTCCCTGGAGAAAGAATATTTGTGCCAAGGAAGGACTTACTCTTGGGAATTCCCCTCCCCGGGAGAGCAGGACAGGCCTTGATTTTAGTGGGAAGAACAACCATTGTGGCTTACCCCTCGGTGTCTGATCTCTGGACACCAGAGAAGTGACAGTAGTGTGCTCAGTTGATGACAGCCACCCTCATAGCCCACCGCCACCACTGCCTTGCTCACAGCAAGTTTAGGTCCAACTGGTTCAAGACTGGAGAAGTTGTATGTACAAAGGACCAGTGGCCTTCTGAAACTCAGGAGTGGGCATCCTCCAGTGTGGTTGTTGTTGAGACCCAGCATATAACAAGGAGGAAGCAGGTAGGGGACTGAGGCTGGATCTACTGATGTGTCTGGACCCAAACAAGACTTTGACCATCAGGCATAAATGCAAGACTTTGATCTGCATACAGTGGTTTTAGGGAAGGCAGTGATGGTCCTTCCATTAAACTTTAATAAAACTACAGTTTGGCTTTTTGTGGTTTGTTGTAATATACTCTGACTAGAGAAGAAACCAAAAGGATCAAATACATTGGGGATAAAGATGACTAGGAGAAGGATATGGAAGAAACAGTGCTGACTCTGCCCTTCTCTAGGCTTTGAGACCCTGGTAGGCAGGAGAGGAGCTTCATTTGACTCTGCACCTAAATGCTCAGTGTCAGGGCAGGGCACTGGTTAGCCTCAGTACACCCAACCAACCGTGTATATTCCACAAGTGGCCACAAGGTGGTAGCACATGCTCAGCACAGCCACAGATGAAGGGGCCCAGGCTGGCAGCCTGCTTAGAAATGAAGGATCCCCAAGGGTGTTGCCCTGAGGCCAGATGGACCTCCCCACTCTCCCAAAGGGTCCAGGTGTTGCCCTGAGGCCAGATGGACCTCCCCACTCTCCCACTGCTGGCCCAGAAGTACTCACTAAGGAGGGCACCACCGTAGAGGCGGATGGGGGTCTTGCTGGTGACCTCAGCCCCATCAAAAACTGCATCATAGAGCTGGTCAGGGAGGGCGAGGGCCTGTGGGCAGCAGAGGACGGCAGGGTCAGATCCAGACTAGATGAATGCTGGGGGTATCCTTCCTCCAGGAACATAGACAGGGTCCCCAGGGCCCAGATCATGAGGGGCAGAATGCCAGCCCTGGAACTAACAAAGGCCCTGACAGATGGGCCTTGGTGTAGACATAGCAACAACTAGCGGCAGGGTATAAAAGCTGGGGGAGGGCAAAGGGCCACACCCAAGCAACCACCTTCTTCCTCCTCTAGTCTGAGGCGCCACCAGCCGACAAGCACCAGACGGCTTGCAGCCAGGACGGAGACACAAGGACTCACCATGATGGCCACACTGGAGAACAGCATAGCAGAAAGAAACTGCCAGACCCTGGGGAGGTACAGAGGGGAAAGTTACAGCCACACTGTCAACCCAGACCCCAGGGGACACTCTGTGAAGCCCAGACACCCAGGGCGGTTTGGGGAGGTAATGAACAGTGTGGATGGAATCCAGAGCAAGGCCCAGTAATGTAGGACCTAACACATACCAGGACTCAACACTATCCAAACAAGACCTGCTACTCACCTGAGCCCCAGAGGCTCCCGCACAGCAAACTTGATCTCATTGCCCAAGACCTGGCTGATCTGTGGACACAGTCATCAGAGGCATCAGGGAAGGCGACCTTCAGCATCCCACCCACCCACTCTCCTCCCCAAACCTGTGTACACCCGGGGCCCCTCTGATTGACATAGAGGTCTCCTCACTGCAAGTTCAAGCTGAGGCTCTAACCTCCCTCGGCACCCAGATAAGAGAGACGTTAGAAAGAGGTGGCTAAGAAGGGAAGCTCAGGGTCTGCCTGCCATGGGCTGAAAGCCTGGCTCTGTTCATCCCTGATGTAACCTCAAGGAAGTGAGTGTCTCAGTTTCCTCATCTGTACATTGGGTCAATAATCACAAGGACAGCTTGCAGGGCTAGCAGGGTCTGCTCGTGTCTTTAAGACAGTCTATGCCTGGCCCCTGAGGAGCACTGGGTTCTTTCTACAGAGCTGCCGTCACTCTACGTATCATTCCCCTGACATTGTAGAGGGTCCTAGAAGCATGGGGAAGTCGCAGGCTCCAGCAACTCTGTGGGCCTTGCCTTCTCCACTCCCCAGCATGGCCCACCTTTGACCGGTGCACTTCACCATCATCATCCTCCCCGCCCACGCCCAGGATCTTCCTGGTCTTCAGGCGGCTCACGAGGTCTGTCTGGCTGTGCTTCTTCATGAGCGGAGGAGGCTGCTTGGCTGCCATGTTGTCCTCTGCTGAGGAACATGGGGAGACACTGGCCTCAGCCATCGTTCCTGCTGGACTTCCAGACCCCAGGTCCCAATGTAGGGCGAGAAGGGTGTGGCCAGGCCCTACCCAGGCCCTGAGAGCAGATGAAGCTGCCGCTGCCTCAGTTTCCTCTCCTGTAAAATGGGTTGAGGAGGATGCTGCCAGCCTGACCCCCATGGACAAGACACAGCCCAGGTGACTCATCAGACAAGGCCTTACATTCAGCCCTTGAGCGGCATATGGGCTTTAGAAATGTCATTTAGACCAGGATGGATCTCACTGACAAGACTTATGGGTCATAAGAGACAAAAGACTTCAGGGAGGTAAGGACTCGGCCCAAGCCCAGAGTGAGCCTCCTAACTCTTAGAGTCTGGAACTGCCCAGAAGGACGTCCCCAGACAATCCCCACTGCCAGCAAGCCAGCCTGCTGGTCCTCCTGCCCCTAGATAGCCTCCTTCACTGGCCAGGACCTAGAGAAGGAGAGGGTTCATCATGAGGGAAAGAGGCATTAGGCCCAGAGAATGAGGCTCCAGGTAGTGGCCATACTGCCCAGACCTCACCCACTCCCTGCCATCAGCATCCACAGCCTCTTCCCCACCACATCTGCCCCCCCCCCCACATTGCACAACCCCCAGCCCTGCAGGCCAGCAATGCCACAGGCCAGTCCTGGTCACGTACTGTGAGATGGGCAGCGAGCCAGGTGCTGGAATGGGCACCGGAGTCTGAGCCGAGCACTCCTCTCCTGTGTTCGATCCTCGGTCTAAAAAGAGAAAGGGTGTGGGAGGAGGGTGACAAGGTGGAGCTGACCCCAGACAGCCCCAGAACTCTACATCACAAGGTCCTGAAGGATGGGCACACATGAGGGTGACTCCACAGGTGAGGGGAGCTCACCTGGGATGAAGAGGCCAGCAAACAACAGGACAAAACCATCCCAACCAACCTGTGCGCCGGCCAGTGCCAAGTGCCCTCTGTACCACAGCATCTCATTCTCTCCCATAGCAGCCTCTAACAAACTCACTCCAAGGCAGAGCTCAGAAGCTGTCTTCCCTCCTCCAAGCCACCTGCTGCCCAATGCCATGTCCCTGAGCACGTGTCTTCCAGCCCCAGGGAATGTCCCCAGATCACCCAGGTTCCTTTTAAACTTGCCAGACTCTTGAAATGAAATAAGCCATCCAAACAAACACATCAGCAGAAAGGCATGGACTGTAGATGCCAGGGTGTGGTCCATACATTCGGAAGAGGTCCAGTGGCTTTGTTCAAAATGACAGCAAAAGTCACCACTGGGCCTGCTGGAAGACCCCAGACCCTGACACCCAGTCCCCTCGCTCCTCATCTGTAAAATAAGTGGCTATGTTTTTCCTTCCTGTGCCTCCTGGGGTGCTGGAGACCCTGGTAGGACTGCAAAGGCTGTCCATGTCCCACATAGAGGCAGTGTGCCCTAGGGGAAGCAGGGAAGTCCTGTTCCAGGTGGGGCCCCAAAGCCTCTGCCCAGGTCACCACTTTCTTCTGACCCCAGACAGACTGAACACACCCCCAGCATCTCTAACCCTCCCTCTTCCAGACCATACAAGGGTGCAGAGCTCAGCCCAATCCACCCCTCCTCTAAGGATGGAGATGTCAGTCACCTGGCCACATCCTTCCCATATCCTCTCTGCCCCTCCATGCAGAGGTAGGTGACCTTGAGGATAACCCGTGTGTGTCACTACCTCCTCCAGCCAGGACACCAGGTTCACGTGCCCAGACTGCAGTGGATATGTGTCATCCCAGCTGTACACTGATCCCTCGCTTCCAGCCGTCACAGGTCTGCTGTCTGTTGCTCCGGTTTCATCTGGATTTTCTCAAATGTTGTATAAACAGAATGATAAAGCCTGCCTGCCAAGCTTCTCCCACCCAACAGGATGCCTTTCCCAACTCACCTAGGCCCAGTGCCCATTCCTGTTTAGTGTGCATCAGTACTCTGTGGGACACTCTGCCACCTGAGGGACATCCAGTTGTTTCTAGTCGTCCTTTGTGTGCATTTGGTGCGATCACACATTCCCATGCCTCTGAGGTAAATGGCCCAGTGTGTGGACAGAGTGAACAGCCAGGACACCGCATGCCTTCCACAATGCACACACACTCCAGCTCCCCCACACTCCTACCAACGCTTGCTGCGGGCCATTTCTGTCTTAGCCCCACTTTTCGGGGCCCCTGGGTTCTTAAACTTTCTCATGAAGCCAGATGTGGCAGGCTGCTCAGCTCAATGCTCCTGTGCTCCCTCACTAGTCTGAGTCTCAGTTTTCTCATCTGTGAAATAGGACTTCAGCTCCAACTTCCTAGAGACCTTGAGGCAATAAAGGAAATTGGGTCAGAGTATGCAGAGAGCCAGCCTGTTCAGTGAGGCCCTCTGTGACAGCATGGGCATGGAACATCAGAGCTCAGCTGGTGTCATCAGCAGTTAGAGCAAATTACCCCCACCCCCTGATCCTAACCCCACCCCAAGCTGCTCTAAGGAGAAGCAAGACCCTGGACAGAGCAGAATTCAGAAAGTGACTGCTGGGCCACAGCTGGAGGGCTGTATACTTGCTGCCTGCACTCACTTCTGGGATATCCAGTGGCTTAAGTGGGCCTGTAAGCCAGCTGCTTAGAGACTGTGGAGAAAGAAGAGGCTAACTCACAAAATGCTACGAGAAGCATGTTGTCTTCCTCAACTCTGCAGTCAATGTCCTGTCTTAGACAGCGCCCAGTGAAGATGACAGTTACCAGACAGGGTAAAACTACCCTCCCCAGAAATTCCTCTACACCCTGGGCAGTGACTCTGGACAGAGAGGACCAGGTCTCATCACCACCTTCCCCATCACATGGGACCAAGACCTCAGTGCCCTGTGCAAGACCAGTCCTACCATGTCCCTTCTTGTTGGGCTGGAAGCTTCCCGGCACTGTTCTCCTCTGCCATGACTCACCCACCAACACACACACACACACACACACACACACACACACACACACACACACCAGGGGACTGCCAGCTCCTCCTCTCTCACTCTCCCCTTTCAAAGCCACCTGCCAAGGGTTTCAGGCCTGATATCATTTTAACGTAAGTGAGTGCATCACCTGCACTCCATTCCTGGGAATCCTGGCCACACACTGGCTTTGAGCCAATGAACCTGGTTGAATCTTGACTCTACCTACTTATGAGCTGTAGGCTTTGGGAAGAGCCACTATAGCACTCTCAGCCTCAGTTTCCCTTTGTGAAATGGGGGGGGGGTAAGGATGCGGATGTGCCAGTGAAGCCAGGCATGTACCCTCCAGCCAAGCCGTCTGTCCTCCTTCCAACTGCCCTTTTTTTTCCTTACCCAGTCTAGAAGAGCGGAAAAGGCCCCTGCCACTCGGGCCTGCCTGGCTTCCCGAATGCTGCTCTGAGGGCCTCCACATCCCCACTACAATTGTAGAAGGTGGGAGGGACAGCGAATCCTCTACCCTCATGCTCACAGATGTGGAGATGGAAAGAGGTGTCAGAGAGGCCATGTCCTGTCTGCTGTCCCTGTCAGACTCCTTGGCAGCCATCCCCACTAAGACAGAAACTCTCCATCCTTCTAAGACTGACAGTCACTCTGAACCCTGTCCAAGTGGGAAAGTGCTCCCTGCTGGGAAGGCCAGCTCAGCCCTTCCCTCCTCCTCAGGGTTCAGCTGGTCTCCTGTTTCACCCCTGGCCATTTACAGCCTGTGTCCCATCACTTCTCATTCCCCTGTTCCAAGGGTGACCCAGCAAGAAAGCGGTGAACCTGTGCTCCTCAGAGCACCTGTCCTCATAACCCAGGCCTCCCTAACTGCAGTCTATGGGAAGAAGCAGCCTGAGAGGGAGAGAGGGCAGGCTGTTGATCTTCCATACACTGAGCAGATAGAACTAAGGCCCATAGCGGGGGAGGGGAGGCTGCCCTAAGCTACATTCAAACCTGTGGCCCAGGTCAGGACAGGGGTATAGAGGATGAGGCAAGGCCACTCTCTAAGAGGCATGTGCTTCGGGTCAGCGGTTTCATAGGGAGCTCTGGTATAATGATTTGGATGATAGTGCCTTCCTGGCCAGGGCAATGGGTGTCACAAGACAGAAAAGGAGGGTTTGGGGGGGATACAAGGCCAGGGAATGAGGAGTGCCCCCCCTTTTTTTTTCCCAGACAAGGTTTCTCTGAGTAACCTTAGCTATCCTAGAACTCACTCTGTAGACCATGCTGGCCTCGAACTCAGAGATCTACCTGTCTCTGCCTTCTGAGTGCTGGGATTAAAGAAACACACTCTTAATGATTAGGAAAACTTGGGACTCAAAATTCACTTCTTTCTCTTCACTGCTCTGTGACCTCAGGAAAATTACTTAGCCTCTCTGAGCTTCTAAGTCCTCATCTAAGAAACTAGACCGAGTCCATTCAGTAAGTTTGTGATATACCATAAAGAGGGCAGCCTCAGAGCTGGGCCCGTGAATTGTGTTCCACAAAGAACAGCCATACATAGTGTTACTAACAACTCCTAACCAGATTCAGCCCTGGGCAGCAGACCTGATGAGGCAGGGCCCCATACCTCCCTTGCTGATCCTGGAGGACTTCCCCAGCCTTCCCGGGAAGCCTGGTTACCATAGAAACCAATGGACTGCAGAGCTGTCCCGACAGGGAGGCTGTGCCCATGAGGGCTGGCTTAGGAAACTCGCTGCCCTGGGAGGGGGAGGGGAGGAAGGGACCCAGAACACCCGCAGCTGTTCAAACAACTTCCCCTGAGTCACAGGCACAGGCCCTTGGTCGTCGGGGAGCCACTTCCTCCCCAGTGTGGGCACAGGTGCAGTGGCTGCACTGTCCTCCTGCCAGTGAGGGGGCAGCTGCTCACATGTCCTGCCTGAGCTGGGGACAGCAACACATCCAGCCTAGGAGACGCCTGAAGTCCACATGATTGCTTGTGACAATACCTAATCCCATTCCACTTTTCAAATGAGAGCACTAAGGCCCAAGTGACTTACTGAAGAGTCCCTGGCTTGAAGTTGTGGCAGAGCTAGAATTCAAGTTCTCTGTGACCTGAGCCTTCATTGGATCTCCTAAGAGGGTCTAGGGAGGGGGAATTAGGGAATGAATATCTGAGTTGTCTGTGTTGAGTGCCTGGAAATGGAGTGTTCCTGGAAACACACACACACACACACACACACACACACACAGCCAAACAACTGAGCTTCAAGCCATCTTCCAGAACACCTGAAGAGCCCTCCCTAGGACTGGCCTCTCTTGGATTCAGGGCCTGTGGGCCCTGATGTGGGCAGGGCTCTGGGAACTAGTACCACAGAGCAGAGCCTCCAGTTCTGTTATCTCTTGCAGCAGAATAGCTGGAAGTCGGTTTGAACAGTGCTGTTTACAAGTTCAGAGTTTGGAGGACCTGGTCAGAGGGTAGGCAGCAAAGATTCTGCCCTTGGGCCCCAGAGCCTCTTCTAGGGTACCCCAGTAGTTTGGGACAAGATAGAGATCTAATCACCTAGGAACCAATTGCTGGGGCCCTGTGGCAAAGTGACCCACATCTCAGGATGTCACAGGGAGCAGAAGGTGAATGCTCCATATTCCCACCATAGACTTATATTCCCAGACCTGGGTCAGGCAGGTCTGCTGCCATGTGAGGAACCATATTCCCTGCAAATGGGTGCCACGCCTCACCCACAAAGCCAAGGGTCACAGGGCACAGGCAGCAGTATTTACACACATAATGTCCCCTGTGTCACGGGTCCCTTTGGAGACGTTCCAGGCCCATGCAAAGGGGAGATAGAAGAGGTGCTGCTGTGTACAGCATCTGCCTCAGTCCCCAGGGAATGGGATAGTTATAGAATGCTGCCTAGGAGGACAGAGCAGTGACGGTGGACTGTACTGTCACCTCTCACACATCTCACTAGCTCAGTAGTCACTAAGCTGCTGCAAAAGGTGAGGAGGACAAAGAGGGAAACCAACAGAAAGAGACCATGATGTGAAATGCTTTAGCATGGCACCGGTGGCGACAGGCCCATCCCAGGGGCAAAGCTATGGAGTTCATGCCAAGTTCCTGGAACCTTCAGGAACCTAGCCCCTGGATCTAGAGCATCTGGGTTTGCGCTGCCACTAGGTCAGGGTGCCCTGAATCACTATGCTTCCAGTTCAGCTGAGGTCACTGGCATGATGAGGCAGGGCTTGCGTGTGTAGAGATTGGGAAGAGTGGTCCTGAGGGCCCTCCCCAGGTTTGAGTAGGCCAACCAGGACTCCAGCCATGTAAGCACATTCATTTGCATTTCAGCTTGGTCCTATCCAGCCAGGGCACCCCTTCCTGCCTCTCCTACTACCTTGTGGAGATTTTATCTTCTCACTGGTCCTCTCTCTGTCTTTGGAAGGTGGCTGATTTCCAGAGTGGCAGAGGAAAAGCCTGGCCTTTCATCACGTGTATCTTCAGAGCGTAGGGACAAAATATAAACAATCCTTGCTGTGTTGGAGAAGGTGGGCGGGGCTCAAGCCTGGGAGCCACATCCTTGGGGGTGAGGGGTGGGGAGGGGTTTCACCCAGCGGTCTGAAGAGCTGCCCTATGCAAAGTAGGGCAGCTCCTCACACAGCCTCTCACCACACAGATGTTATTGGCAGGGCTTTTCCTGTCCTGCTGTCACTTGCAAAAGGCAACACACAGCATGGAGAATTCCTGTCCTTTTGAACTCTGAGTGGGCCAGCCTCCCCAGGGCCTGGTGACCCAGTCTGTGCCCTCAAGGGCAGCTGGCCCAGTCGTCCATCAGGACAGCCGTGCTTTTAGTTCCCATGGAGCCAGGACTCTTCCATGAATAAGGCAGTAGCTCTCCTTCCCAGCCATTGTCATCCCCCCCAGGCCCCTCCCTGCTGCTCAACAACATAGAAGGGGCAACTGGGGGCCTCATTGAATGAATGCTCCATGCTAAGCCAATGTCCTCAGACTAGATGATCTAGAGCCCTGCTTTCCTCTGGGCAGGGACCTCAGTTCAAGGCTGAGACTTCCCTCCCCATACTCAGATTTGGATGAGTGGTTAACAGGGCAAGTCACACCTCAAAATGTCCATGCTCACATTCTGCCTCTGCCCCCCCCACACCCCAAGAACTTGTGTGACACTGGGAGAGAGACCTGCCTCTCTGAGCCTCAACTTCCTTATCTGTTAAGTGGGCATAATAATAACACTTACTTTCTCCAATTAGAAGTTGTCTATCATCACCCAGAATAGCTTGAATTTTGTAGACAATGCTCAACAATTCTGCTGTTTAGACCTGAAGATTCAACTTCTTCTTGGCCTCAGTTTCCCCCTTTACTAAAGCAGTTCTGAGCAGAACCCCTTCCAGGATTCCATGCCCACAAAAAACAGAGTGTTCCAAAAAAGAACTGGTGTGAGACAGAATAGGGCGGGTGAGGAGATGTATTAGGGTCTCTGGAAACAGAGTTCCCAGGGCTCTCAGCCTGGGAGGCTATCTCCCTGTCCCTGGACACAGAGGATGCTCCTGGGGGTGAGACCTTCCCACCTGGATTGGGAGCACAATGGCCACCCTGTGGATGCCCCTCCTGGGGTGCTGGTGGAGGGGTTGTGGGTGCTATCTTACAGATCCTATCTCTCACCTGTGAGGGGGTCCACATCTTTCCCATCAGTGTCTAACTCTTCCCTGCCCCACTCCACAGGAGCAGCATATTGCTGCCTCGGACTCTTTGCACATGCTATCTGCAGCACTGGAAAAACATCACTGACCACTCTTTAAAATGGCCTCAACACCCCAACAGTCTACATGTTCCCCTGACTCCTGCCCTACATTATAGAATTCGCTTTCTCCCTCTTTCTGAGACTGGGGCCTTCCTACGTAGTCTGGGCTGGCCTGGACTCCAACCCTTCCTGCCTCATCACTCTGGATGCTGGAACAACCCCAAGGCACCATGCATGGCTCAATAGCTTATTCATTATTTATTTGCCTCTCCTTGCTAAAGCCACAGCGCCACCAAGAAAAGAGTCTTTTCAGCTTCCACAGGTGTATAGGGACCTGTGGGACCCGTGCTGGCCATTTGTGTCATCACTGTTTTGTATAGTACGCACAGACACTTTAGGCAGTAAAGGGACACAGAGAAGAACCAAGAACAATGAACGACGACCTTGCCCTTAGCCAAGAGCCTCTCTCCAGCAGAGGGGGCTGTGACAAGTTCAATCTTAGGAGTTGGGTGGGGAGGAGCTGCGAGGTCCGGGGACCGGAAGGGTCAGATTTGAGAGGTCTGCAGAGGAGACGCCAGAGCAGCGGGCTCCTAGGACACTGAGACCAGAGGGGACTTTAGGGAAGGGCAGTCTGAACGAAGGCGACAACAGAGATCTGAAGAATACTCTTATTTCCTAACGACCCTACAGGAAAATAATTTGTTTTTCCCTCAGACTGAATCTGTGATCAACACTAAACGGCAGGTGGTGTCCCTCCGGATTCTTCCACGAACCCACCATAGTCCCGCCGCCGGCTGCAGGTGGCGACCCTCCTCCTTTTCCAAGGAAAGGCACAGCTGGATGAGCGTCCCCTTAACCCAGAGACTTGCCCACTCCCGCCAGGCCCCATCCAGAAAAGTTTGTCTTTAAAAAAAAAAAAAAGAAAGAAAGAAAGAAAGAAAGAAAGAAAGAAAGAAAGAAAGAGGAAGTGCGGGCGAGGGGTCTTCGAGGAGGCCTTGGTCGTGTGCTTCAGGCTTTGGGGCAAAGTGGGGGCGGTTCCTGGGCCTCTCCCTGCTCCTCCACCCCACAGGCGGGAGAAGCCATCTGCACCCAGGCTACAAGAAGGAGGGGAGAGGGAACCATAAACTAACGCCTGGCCCGGAGGTGCCCCGGAGATGGTGCACCGAGTATTTCTGAGCACTACATGGGACCCCAATACACCCTGTGCCAGCCGATGGCCCCACGCTGCCCCCTTGAAGCTGACCGCGCGGCTTATAAGGGAGAGGATCACCCTGGCCTGCGATCCCCTCCTAACTCCCCTAGACTAGGATCTGGCCCAGCCGCGTTTCTGTTCGTTCCTCTCTAGCAGGGACTCTGGAGTGTCATCGGCCCTGCCCCTAGCCCTCCGATCTATCCCTCATCTCCGCCCTGCAGACACTCCTCCACTTTGTGAGGCGGGAGTCCGCGACTCCTCCAGCCCCCGCATCCACACTGAACGTCCGGCCAGACCAGTAGGCAGCGGGAACCCCACCACCTCCTCCGCCCGTGGGGGCAAGGACCCGGGAACTCGCAAGTTTGCACCGCTCAGTCCTCGGGCCAGGAAACAAAGGCGGGAGGGGGTGCGGTAGCGAGAAAGGGGGAGGGGACCGGGAACTAAGCGTGAAAGACAGAGACCCCGAGATAGAAGAAACTGCTTCAAGCCCGATTCTCTCCGGCTCCAAAGCAAAGAGCTATAACCAGAGAGAAGGCCAAGGGCAAAAATAAACAGCCCTAGGAGAAGGAGGTGACAGAGAAGAGAGCAGGAGGAGAAAGGGAAACCGAGTCAGTGAAAGGAGACAAACAAAAAGGGCAGAAGATTGTGCCTCGAGGAGCTCAGCGGGGATCCCAGGCGCCAGCAGACCCGCAGGTGCCAAGCTGGCCCGGCGCCCGGCAGGAGTGCGCAGAGTGCTCGCTGCCCCCCAGAGGTCCCAAAGGCCCCCAGCGTCCGCGGGCTGGGCCGGCGCGGCGGGGAAGTGCGAGGCTAGCAGCGGCGGGCAGCGGACTTACGTTCCTAGAGCGCCGGGTGCTGCGCTCGCGGAGCTGGCGTGCCCCGCAGAAGCTTCGGCAGGGGGAGTCTCACTCACATCGCGGCACCGCGCTGGGCGAGCTGGGCAGGGCAGGGCAGGCTGGACTCCTGTGCGGCCGGGCTGCCCGAGTCTGGCAGCCCGCACTGGTCCCTCCTCTAGTGCGGCGCACAAGCCAATGGCGCGCCGTCCCCTCCCACGCGCCTGGCTGCCTCGCCCCCGAGGTGGCCAGGGCGGGCACAGAGGGGTTGGGGGGACCCGGGGCTGCAGCAGAGACCTTGCCGAGCTCCGCCTGCGGGGGGCGCACCCCAGCTTGGCCAGGACACCCTGCCGCTTTGCTACCTAGGACTTTCTCGGAAGTTCTGAAAACAGCGCCCCTTTCCCGGGACTGCAAACATTCCCTATGAGTTGATAAATACCCATTCTCAGGCCTAGTGTCTAGGAAGATGTATAGGAAGGAAGGGGTTAGCTTTGGCTGGCAGCACCCCCCTCCGCCCCCCCTACCCCCCTCGTCAGTGTGAAACAAAACGGTTAATTATGATCACCGTTTGCTAAAACACTTCCAAGAATGAAATCTTCACGTTCTCAACCCCCCAAGAGGTATATAGGACTGGCCCCAGTTTACAAAACCGTGAGTCATTAATGCTTATCCTAGGCCTACTGAAGATACTGGAGAATCGGTGTTCTGTCAGCCCAGCTTGTCCCCTCTGCATGTAGTGACTGCCAAATGACAAGAACTCTTTGCCTGTGCTGGTTGCATGTGTCAGGGCTGGGGTCTTCCCTGGGGCTGCAAAATACTTGTTGGGGGAATTAAACAGCTTTTTATCTCAGCCCATGCCAAAAGAGTGTTTCTGGGTGAACTTTGAGGGGTCCTGGTAGGTCTTCAGGAGCCTAGCAGGGCTCCTGAAACACCCCATCCCTTGCCTGGGTCTGGAGTGCTGGAGAAACCCGTTATAGCTGTTGATTGCCCAGGGTCCTGGGTCTGGCTGAGAAAAGCCCTGGGGAGGGAGGGAAGGAGGAAGGGAGGGTGGGGAGGGAGAGAAGGTAAAGAGGAGGGCAGAGAGGAGAGTGGCTGTCCCCTAGCCCCAGCTAGGCATGCCTCTGACTTTGCTTTGCTTTTCTACTCCAGGCTACAGAACCAGAACACCTGGGTTCAAACCCTGGCCCTGTCTTTTAGCATGATTCTGGGCAGGCAAGTTACCGAAGCTCTCCAAATCTCCTTATCTACAAAATGGGCGTGGCTTAATAACAGGAAGTGCCCTGTGGCAGTTGCTGGGATTTCCAGTTATAGGTGCAGTCCCTGCTTACCAAGTCTAACCATGTATGAGGTGCTAATGTACTAGGCAGGCTCCATAGCCCTCCCAACAGCTGGGACTGGACAGGAGGGGCTGTGCCCTTTGCAAGGAAGTAAACAGAACCTGGTGCCTAGCAAGCCAGCTCTCAGTGGATGTTAGCCTCCTGATTACCAAGGCAACTAAACTCCCTTCCCACAGTGCCACCCTCTCTCGCTGAACACCTGGCTAGTGATGGCCAGTAATGAATGAATCACTCAGCCAGTCACGTCTGTGGCTCTGTCTCGAGGTGTGTGGAGTGAAGCGCACATCCAAGCCACCTGTCCCTGACCAGAGTCTTTGTTATGGTCTGTTCTCTGAACAGTTTAGAGTCTCACCTCCAGAGAGAGATAGGATGATGAGTTCATTGTCATACTGTCTGTCCCTTTATCGGGCAGGGCTCTGGGCTGTGTTGCTGGAACCCAGCAGCATCCTTGAGCACCCTCCCGATGTGGAGACACCTCCCAGTGTTCCACCAGAAGCAGGAACTGAAGGTAGAGTTCCAGAGGCTGCCATTCAGAAGGAGTGAGCTCACTGTCACTAGAAGCATGCAAGCAGAGCTGAGGAGGAGGGGGAGGCAGAGAGGCAGGACTTACCCTTCAGTGGTGCTCGATATAAACAGAGCCTCTGTGTTCTGGGGTTTCCATGTCCATCTATAAGGAGCCCATGATGCTTTGCAAAGGAGGTATAGCTACCCACATGGGCCCCGTGTGCCAGGTAAAGCGATGAGCCCTGGGGCCTTGGAATAGACAGAAGGGTATCCCTGTTCTCACAGGATTCCTAACCTCTTGGGAAAACAGATTCGTATCCAGGATCTTGAGGAGAAAGGAAGCAGCTCCCAGCCTCAGCTGACTGACTGGGAACGTGAGAGAACACAGAAGGTATCCACAGTACCCCCTCTAAGTGCAGACCCCTCTGATGGACCTCATCATTTTCTCTCTGGCTTTGGTTTGCAGGTGGCCACACCCAGAGTGCTCGCTACTGCCAAGGCAGCTCTTTCTAATTGGAAAAACAGGGCTGAGTGGCAAGAGTCTATCTATTTCCCCCAGAGTGCCCATTCCTGTCCACACACTTCTACAGAGTCATGTGCATGTGTTTAAGAGCATTCCTAAGACCACCATCACTCAGCCCTTGACATGTCCTCAACCAATAAATGGAGGCAGGATGTCCTTCCCAGAGGTTCCTGGCAGTGTAAGAGAGAATGCATGCTGAGCCCCTTGTCCAAACATGTTTCTGAGTTACCTCATCTTCCCATTGGCTGGAGGCAAGCTTACCTAGTCGGGCACATTGTAACATGATGCAACACAGATATTTAGCCTGTGTGGATTCTGAGGGTAAAAGCCACTCCACACGCCCTGTGCTGGTGACAGGGAAATGGGCATACTGACCCTTGCAGCTTGTGAGAAGCCAATGAAGTGACTTCACTTTACCAAGTGAAAACTTGGGTATTATTGTTCCCATAGAGGCTGGACTCTGAATGTGCTAAAATGTTCTCCTGAAAGCCTCAGGAGAGGGGCTGGAACTGGGGAGCAGCCAACCAGTGAGGGTCACTCCTAAGGAGGCCCAACAGCTGCTGCTCCATCTGTCCTGTCCTGGGCTTCCTCAGCACGAATGGCAGCGCCTCTGTGCCCTAGAAGGAGAAGGTATGAGCAAGTGTATGGGTGACAGTGTAAGCAAAGGGGGAGGGGCACGCAACTCCCTCCTGGACTGAGGAAGAGTCTATATTTTCAATGAGCAGGGCATGGGGACACCTGCACGGCTGTGATCCCAGCACTCTAGAAATGGAGGCAGGAGGATCAAGAGTTCAAAGACACTCTCAGCTACATAAGGAGTTCAGGACCAGCCTGGGCTATATGAGACACCATCTCTAAATGAAATTTAAAAACAAAAAACAAAAAAAAACAAACAACAACAACAAAAAACAAGATGCATGTTAGAGACATAACTTAGTAGGGGGAAAAAAGCTTGCTGCATAAGCCTAATGACCTGAGTTCAATCCCTAGACCCTACATAAAGGTGGAAGGAAAGAACTAACTTTACAGAGCTGCTCTCTGACCCCAATAAGTGTACCATGACATGGGTACCCCCATCATACACACAATAATAATAATAACAGTGGTAATAATTTAAAGCGAAGGTGCTTGCTGTTAGAGCAAGGTTATGGAGAAATGGAGAAGGCTTTGGGAGCTAGCACTGGGCATAATCTTTGGAGCAAGGCCCAGGAAGAAAAGTCTCAGCGATGCCATCTCCTTGGACAGGAGGACAGGAATGTCTAAGTTCGGTGGTAGTTGAACCTGTGAATAACTGAACTGGACAAGCAAAGGGTTAAATCCTGGCTGTGGGATCATGCCAGCAATTCTACTTCTCTGGGCCTCTGTTTCCTTTTCTGTAAAATAAAGCTAAGAACTGGGTGAACTTTGTAGGAGTCACAGAACAGCCAGGACAATAATCCTCTAGCTTGAAGCTACTGCTACTGCCAGGAGCAGGGTAGAGGAGGTGCTTCTGAAACTGTAAAGGGTGGCTCAGAGGTGACAACTGTTGAGCCAGCATGAGTTGAGGCTGCCACAGGGGTACCTTTGAGGCCCAAGCAAAAGCTGCCTCCTCTGAGATCCCAGGGAGTGAACTGAGCTGGATTGGGTTCCTTTCCTGCCCCTCCCCCTCCACAACTCCCTCCTATCTGAGCCTGCCTAGTGGGAAGCTTTGGGGTAGCCTTAGGCTGAACACAGCTTTAGTGTCTGAAGGAGAAGGGAAGGTTCAGGGATTCCCAGGAGGGCCCTCCCTCCTGTGCTGTCTGCTTCCCCTCCTCTCCTTCCGTCTATAAGCTAGCCAGGTCTCATCTCTGGCTTACGCCCCCATGGCTGAACTCCCTTGCTGACTCATCTTCCTTCCATTGCCACACTTGACTATGGATGCTGTGGGAGCACGAAATGTCACACAGCTCCTTACCTGGGAGAAATAAGCCATCTGTGGGGGGAGGGGGGACATTTCTGACAATGAAACTCAGACCTCTCAGAGGAAGAACGGTGGGCAGCTTGGGAAGCCAACCCATGCCAACAGTGGCTGGAAAGCGGAGGAGCTGGCAAGACCAGCCCAGCAAATCCTGGTTCTCTCTAACTAGCTTAGTGGCTCTTGACAAGCCTCTCTGAGCCCACCCACCTGTCAAATGGGAAGAGAAACCTTGGTGATGTCCAGGGTACTGAGGGACTGAGGGAGCTGGATGTGTCAGCCCTTAACTCAGGGCCTGACTCACAGGTTCTCAATAAGAAACTCATTGATTCAGTGATGAATAAACAAGAGATGGCAGAGATAGGGGCAGGAGATAATTGCTGCTACCGGCAAGAAAGCCATTCTTCATCAGCTGGGGATAGGGTAGGGACCTGGTATTCTAAGCTCAAGGGTGTATACTTCCCCTGGGGGGACAGACAACACTCCCACAAGTCACATAAGAGCCTCAGACAGGCTAGAGACTCTCAGAATGCTGACTCCTGGTAGGAAAAGAAGTGCTTTTCCTACCAGGTAAAGAGGGTACCCTCCTCAGCTTGTTAATTCCCAGAAGCCTTCATTATAGTCACTGTGCTGAGGGCTATATCCTGGCCTTTGAGCCTCCAGCTTAGGTTATAACCAGTCTTTTAACTGCCTCCTGCTCTAAAGGACATTCTGACCCCACTCTAGGAGCTTCCTGGTTTGAGTGGTCTGAAGTCTTTTCAGGTTGGTCTCATTATTCATCCATTTTATAGACATGTA